TTTTAAACCCCATTTTTTATTGCTAAATTCTATTTATTTAAAAAAAAAATGTTTATGATCCGATATAACGATTTCCTCTTACCTATATATTGAATAATATTAATAACTATAATTTAGATAATACATTTGTAGTTAAATGTTTACTTAATCAGTAAACGCTTTTTGTTTAGGGTCTTTAGTATAATATGGGCCCCAAAGAATGTTCTTGCACTTCCATCAATATATACTAAGTTGTGTGGACTTGTGTTAAATTTTAAAGTAATGGTCAAATCGTTCACCTATTTAAGATGATTAATACAAGATTAATTAAATGCATTACAGATCTTTTACTTTAAGTTTTAAATCAAAAACTGGATGTGGCTTAGATCCGAGAACTTGGCCTTCAACAATTTCTGATTCTTTAAAAAGCTATTTCCATGGACTTGGTTCTTCTCAACCATTATTACTAGATTTAACAAATAGATTTCCAAAATGTTTTGATTAATCAGGAAATGTTCACTCATTTCATGATAGTTATTATAGCAAAATTTTGTTGGATGGAATTGTAGTTAAACATTCATGGTTATCATATTATACATCATTAAATTAAGTTTTTTGTACTTCTTGTAAAATATTTAGCCTACCAAAAGCACAACGAAATACTTTTGCTTTGAAAGGTAGTAAAGATTTTAGAATTATAGAAAATTATGAAACTACTATTGAACACATTCAAGCAGAAATTAGCCGTGGTATATACAGATAACATGCGTATAGATACACAAAAGATATATTCAGCTAACAAAAAAGTATCTGAAAATCGAAAAATTTTAAAAGTGATTATTGATGTATTGCTATATTTGGCAAGACAAAATATAGCCTACAGGGGTCATAATGAAAATGTTGCTTCACTAAATCAAGATAATTTTATAGAATTAATTAAAGTTCTATCTCAATATCAACCTATTATTCAACAATATTTAAATAAAATAAATTCTAATAAAAGAAATATACTTACATTCATGTCACAAGAAACTCAAAATTGTCTTCTCAAGATTTTAGCAGAACAGATAAGTTTTAAAATACTAAAATAAGTTCAACAACCCGGGATTTTTGCTATCATTATTGATACCACTACCGATGTAGCAAAATTAGAGCAAATTTGTTTCATCATTCGATATTTAAATGAAAAGGGACATGTACAAGAACGGCTTGTTACTTTATCTACAGCTTCAAATGCAACTGGATTAGGAATGTTTCAAGTATTTCTTAATGTAACGGAAAAATACCATATAAATTGGAGAACTCAGTTGTGTGCCCAAGCTTATGATGGTGCTGCTTTGATGCAAGGACAGTATGCGGGTCTAGGATCACGAATTCGATAAGAAAACCCAAATGCTTTGTATGTATGGTGTTTCGCACATATGCTTAATCTAATTATACTAGACATGTGTGACTGTTGCACTGAAAGCGAAGTATTCCTTGCTAACGTTCAATCAATTAATGACTTTATGCGAGCTCGAAAAAGAACACAACAATTCAAAAATGATCAAAAAGAATTATATTCAGAAATGAGGTTACGTTGGCTGAAACACTTTTCAACAACTAAATGGACAGAGTTATTATTGTAATTTATGAGAAATTCACTTAAAGAAACACTTAAATACTTATCAGAAGCACTTGATTCAGATCGAGAAACTTCTTCTAGAGCATCAAGTTTTGCCAAGTCAAGTTTAAGCAATTTAAGATCAGATGAAGAATTTATGAAACTTGTAAACGAAGCTCAACATATTTCCAAAGAAAATGATCTAATTGAAATTGAATTCAAGGAAATTAGTATTAAAAAGAAAAAACGTATGTCTGGTGAAGTTGGCCAAGATGAACATCAATCTTCAGCTAGTTATTATTATAAAACAATGGTATACTTTACTGTCTTGGACAGTGTAATTACATCTATTTCAAATAGATTCAATGAATCGAAAGAAGTTCTAAAAGATTTGAGCAGTTTATCACCAACTCGCATGATGTCTTTTGGAAAAGAAAAAAATCTAAATATACCGATTGGTGCATTTCAAGAACTCTACAAGTGGTTGCCAAAACTTGATAAAACGACCTTAAAAAATAAATATATATTATTTAGCAAGTCAATTCATGCTCTTATTGATGGCATGTCACAAAATACATTACAAAAAAATAAAATTTCATCAATAAGTGATATTTATTCAAATAGTTAATGTAAGTTAGCCTTTTAGTGACACTGGTGAAGAAATAATGATTCATATATTAGTTCAGAATAATTTCTTTAAGTCTTGTCAAATTATGGAATACTTCAAAGTTTTCCAAATTTACACTATGCATATAAAGCTTTACTGACAATTCCAGCTTCATCTGCTAGTGCAGAAAGAGCTTTCTCGAAAGTAAATAGTTTTATATGTATTTATATTATTAACAATTATTTTTCTAGTAGAAATAATAAAATGATAATTTAGGGGAACCATTTTTAAAAATTTTAATATTTTAGTTTGAGTTGTTACTAACTAATTTTTTTTTTCTTGAACTTAAATTCACTTATATTACAATTATCTACATTATTTGTACAAACTTATATATTTAGTTATAATAAAGATAAAAATAAATTTTTACATTATAGGTAAAACTGATTAAGACACGGCTAAAATCTACGACAGGAGAAGATAGATTAGAAAGCTTAATGCTTCTTAACCGCGAAAAAGATATTGATATTGACTACAAGACTGCAATCAATACGTTTGCTACCACATCTGATTTATTAAAGAATAGTTTAATTTTAAAATAATATTATGAAAATGTATTAAATGTATTAATAATATTTATAGCATAATCATTTTTGATAATAATAATTTATATGACATGTGTATTTTTTCTTATTTTGAGTTGCTTTCTCAATGTCTTGATTTTATTGACAAATTGATAATATCTTTGATAATTATATATAGTGTATTGAATGTTATTAACCTATTTATTGTATTACCTTAATACACATTATAACATTCAATGTACTATATACTTTATATAGAGAACTTTATATTAAGTTCCCAAAAGTACTGATTGGGGGTGTGGGAGCAAAGCCCCCACAAGTCGGTTTTATACAATTTAGGTGGTGGTAGTTGTAGTAAAATATTTATAGTTGCCTCATAGTTGAAAATGTTTCGCGCCACCACTGGTGTAACATAACCGAAACGTTTAGCAACTTGCACAATTCATAATGCGTAAGTATACAAAATAACAATCGGACGCCCACATTTTGCCAATTTTATCTATCATAAAAACGATTGTTCACCCACTACGTACCGTGCGACCCATATACTTCGACTCGGTGCTAAACATTACACCACGCGATAAGTTCTCCTCTCGGACCGGTTTATTCTACACTCAACACGAATGGTCGAGTCAAAGACACCGTATATAAAACATATCATATACAACAACACAAAATTTACACATCAGCAGTGCACGAGACCAGTGTTGACAGAATAAGTAGACGGACTTTTCTTGATCAATAATTGTCTAGGTAGACACTAATAGCTAATATCTAATAATGTATTCATAAATATCCCACAAAATGTCTATAAAAATAAGACATGGGCTATAAAAATAAAATATATTGCCTGGAATACAAATGTATGTAAAAATTGTTAAGACTGGTTTAGGTTTAAAAAATCATCGTTAAATATAAAAACACACAGTGAATGTTTTTGAAAAATTATTCATATAGTCAATAACATTTTTTTATTAGTTTAATAGTGTTACCAACAAAATATTTTTAAATTTTAAAAACATTTTACACATGTTATGATATTAATTTTAACTATCATTAATATTAAAGTCAATTAAAATCAAAGTTAAAAAATTATACGTAAATGCGATTTTTTCCATAATAATAAGTTTAACCTAACAATTATTACAAGGTGTATAAGCTTTAATACAGAATTTAACTATCTTCCAACATAGGTTGATCTACCTGTTCTCCTTCGTAGATGATCGTTTTTCAAAACCAATGGTACATTGCTTTCAATTTATTTTCAAATGTATAAGAACAATTCACCTTAATCAGTTACCCGTTTCAGTATATTGCCCCTTTGTTCGTAGTTAAACCATTTTTGATACTGAATGAAGCGAAGGATCTTATGGTTTTTCAATGATATTTATTATTTTTATTCTTTATTTTTTTTTTTTTCTGTAAACAATTTTTCAGATAAAAATACTGGTTCAAAAGTCATTATAGTAATAAATTGTAGCGATGAACAAGCATTTTTACGATTACAAATTATAAAAAATAGATCGAGGACTGCAATGAATATAAATCATTTGAATCAGCTGTCAATTTTAAGCATTTAATGTGATGTTTTAGTTGACATATAATTTGAAAATATAATAAATAACTGCTGAGAAAAAGTAAAAAAAAAATTAAATAATAATATCTAATGAACTATTTATTTTAAATGTTTACAATAAAAAGAAAAAAAATAAGATAGAAAATTTTTTTTTGAATTTCAAAATAATACCATTTACAAAATGTATATAAATGAATTTTTTTTCTGCATGCACTTAAAGATTCGTAGAATAATGAGCCTTTAATTATTGTTTGCCCTGGGTCATATTAAATAATTAAAATAATAGTTTAATGTATACAATACCATTGCGGACATATGCATTACAAGCAGGCGCGGATCCAGAATAGATTTACGGGGGGGGGGCATCAAATAATATCAATTAACTATCAGGGTTTATTATGTTATATTATTTTGACACTAGCATAATAATGATTGAAATTAAATTTACCTTTAAGTAGACCATAAAATATAAATAAAAACATTTTTTTTTAAATATTTAGGTTTCTCAAGATTTTATTTTATTGCTTATCGAATGTTTAATTACATTACTTTTTCTAGTTTTTACTGTAATTTATAATTTATGATAAATTCTAATCAAATATACAACTTAAAGTTAGGTTAATTTCTTATTATTTATGGTTTTCAAATTGCAAATGGAATTTTTCTTTTGCTTTTGGAGAAACGCTGAATTAATTTTTCAACATCAATGGCAATGTTTCTGTGAATGTTTAATAATGCAAGTCCAGTCAAACGTGTTTCACACATTGTTGATCTTAGCCATGTTTTAAGACGCCGTAGTGAAGAGAATGACCTTTCAGAGCTAGAATTACTAATGGGTAATGTAATTAATAATTTTAATATTTTATTTATTAAAGGAAAAACGTCTTCATCACAATTCTGTAATACTTCAATTGCATGGTTAGAAATAACTGATGAATCATTTTGAAATTCACGTATCCACTTCTCTTTCCAAATATAGTATTCACCAACTAATCGGGAGGATAACTCATTTTTATTAAGCAATTTTTGAAAGTCTTTAGCAACTGATTTTATTTTGTCAGTTTCTTCTTTTTGGTCATTTGGTAATTTTAAAAAATTAGATGGAAGAAAAAGAGATAACTGAAATAATTCCAATGTATTTTGGGAAAAACGTGTTTTTAAGTCATCTATAACATTATCCAATAAAGGAATGAATATCGAGATTCTGTAATAGTCTTCTACGTTGTTGGTAAAATAGTTTGATCGATTTTTTTGTTGTTTACATGATCTAGGCATTCGTAATTCTACATCGATAATGTTTGCTAAATCTTCAGATGATTTAAAAATATTTGAAAATTCTGTATCAACATTTTCACGACATTTGGAAAGAACTTTTAATGTATCTTTTATAGTATTTGCTGCTGTATTCAAATCTAAATTTTTTTTTTTGGAAAATTTTGCTTAAACAATAAGTGAAATTGAGCAAATGCGCAAAACTAAAAAAAGCAATAATAAATTCACTGTCACATAATGTTGTTACAAGTATTTTTGCTTTTCCAGAAGTTTGAGAATCTTTCCATGTTGTAATTTCAGTTAATGTATTAATAATTTTAGGCATGTCTTGTAAAAACCTAGTAACTCCATCATGTCTCTCAACCCATCTCGTTTCGCATAGTCCTGTTAGCTGATGGCCAACATATTTCTTCAAAATAACTGTACGTTTTGCTGACACAGAAAAAAATCTAACAACCTCTTTAATAATTCCAACTAAATTTCGTATACTTTGAACTTTACTTGATTTTGAAATAGAAATATTAAGAGAATGGTTGTAACATGGACATCTACGGGCATTCGGTGAACTCTTTATAATTTCAGCTACAGCTCCACAAATTTCTGATGTCATAACACTGCAACCATCAGTACCAATACTACACATTTGTTAAGATTCAGACCCATTTTTCTCAGTTGATTTAAAACAATTTGCCCTAGCATTTTCCCAGTTATCGATATTTCTTCTACATTTTTGCAACTTTCATAATTTTCAAAAGAACTGTCTATATTTACTTCTTCATCATCACTTAATTTATTATTAGAACTCCTTAGTTGAATAAGTTGAGCTTCGTCAAATGCATCTATAAATGCCACAAAATCTTCTCTAATTGTTATTTCATCAATATATCTTATAACTAAACTAATTTGCGATCGTTTAGACACATCTAAGGTTTCATCAAAAATTATACTGTAAAAAATATCCTTGTCTGTAATTTTTTTTTAAAATACTGTCTAAAATTTCTTTACCACATAAATCGATTAACTCGTTCTGTATTGTCTTGCTAATATATGTTGCTTTTGAAGAAGAATTTTTCAGATGATTTTCAAGCATAGAATCTCCGGCATTGACTCGAAATTTTAAAAGTTCTTTAAAATTACCTTCGTTTATTGAACTTCTTCCATTTTCAATGGTAGACGATAAATCTAGTTGGCCATCGTCTCTATGCCCTCGAAAAGAGATGTTTTGTCTTCCCAAAAATATAATGCTTTCTATAATTGGAATAAGTCTTTCCTGATTTTCTTTTATTTCTTGCATTCGTTTTGTATCTAATAAGTTGTGTATTTGAAGTTTGGGATTATTGTAATTTTGTAAAAAAAGTTTAGCCATTTGGACAGACTCATTGTGATATCTAGTGATTTCATGTCTATGTAAATCCCCTGTATTTCCTTGTAATCTTGCGAACTTTGTCAGTGGTTGAGTAACTAATTTTTGTAATTCTACATTTCGTTGAAAACCACCTTGTTTTTGTACATTAAACAAAGGACAATATTTGCAATATAAACCTTATTTTGATGGTGAAAATACTAACCATATAAAATTATTTAAATGTTGTTGCCCAAGAAATCGACGTATTAATTTACCGTTTTTATTATGCTCAGAGAAAGGAAATATGTAATTTGTTGGTGGTACCCAATGATTCACTAAGAGTTCACGCTACGAATAATTGTCAATATTTTTTCCAATATAATCTCCTATGTCATTAGAATGAAGATGGAAATCATGACTAGAAGTAGCTAATACTGAATCAATGTTCGAATTAAGTTCTTTTACTGAATTATCTGAAATATGTTCTTCAGGTATGTTGCATTTAACTGTGGTTTTTTTTGAAATTGGTTTGAAAAATGAACTTATTTTTGAAGAAGAACGCTTTTTATCAGTACTTGTATCCTATGAAAGTAAAGAAAATGTAATAATTTAAAATCATTTTATGATGACAGTATGAAGTCATCATGGGAAAAAAAATTTTCGGCCATAGGAATAAATAAATTCAAATCTGTTTTCAGAACCCTCATCGCTTCACTGTATCAAATAAGATTATTTAAAATGCACAAAAGTTGGTTTTTAATTCAAATCAATGACAGTGTATTAAAATTCAAAATACAAATTACTTACCATTTTTTAAATACACTTGTTTTCTCACTGCTCGTTGAACGCTGTGTCATTGTTTGTATTCCGTAGGAAAATGATAATGTTTTATTATATTTAATATTGTAATAATAGAAATAGTCAATGTAGTATGTGTGATTACGACGATAAGATAACGTGAACGATCTACGCCGTCGTTAGCCAACGCCGATGCGATTATAAAAAAATAGAAATTACAGAACTATAAATAGAATCGACCGAAACCAATATGAATTTTACAAATCATTATAATCTAATAAAGAAAATATGTTATAAGAATAATTTTAAATATTGTTTTAATATATTACATAGTATGTATACATATAATTTTTTCCCCGACCTTTTTTTTTAAAAAATTTGGCCATTGCTCCCATAGCCCCCCCCTTGTATCCGCGCCTGACTACAAGGCATGCAGGATAAAAAAACTTTGTAGCCCAAATTATATGACGAGGTAGCATAAATATCATTAATACAGATAATAGAGTTTATTTAACACAAATATATTTCAAGTACCTCTTACGTACCTTTAATATATTATTCGTATAAGTTTTTATAAGTTTCAATGAATGATTATGTAAATAAGTTAATAAAATATTTTAACTATACCCGTGTGACTATTATTATGAATCGCTGTTCAGTATTCTAGTATAATAATGTGTCAAAGAGTTGGTGTTCGAAATTGTATACAAATTTAAATTTAAGATATGGTTTGGTTAAATCGACATGGTCCATTACACAAAAACATCATATCCCTATTGTATAACACATTATCATTACACATATCACTATAGCTATATTGTCCCATTAAATGGGAATTAAAAATTATGGAGATATTTATTATGATATCATGGAAACGTTGTCTCACATAAAAATAATGTAGAGCTATGTAATGGGATAACCTGTGATAATAATTTTTTATCTTTTCTCATAAGTAAAATGATTTTTTTTTGTGTGATGAATATATACTTTAGCTACTAAGTTAAAGTGACATAATATTGCAATTAAAGTTGTCGAATATTTTATTTGAACATATAATTAACCTACACTTTATTATTTACAGAAAATTATAAATCATAATAATACAAATAGTCCAATATCCTGAATTCCGTCGGTGTCGATTGATTTGATATATTTAGTATTTATCGTTAAAGCCGATCATTGTTGCTATTCTTCAAAATTGTTGAACACAATAATCGTCGTATTTTCTCACAATGTTCAAGCATTTAACGTGAAGTTTTGCTCACAGTATGTATCACAAGACGATACCTCCAATACGATGGAAAAAACATCACTTCAAATAAACTGTTAATTTAAAACATCTGTATCGATCTCATGAATATCTTTAAACTTATCCCCATTCCTGAGCACATTTCTATTTACCTCCTAACGCTTTATCGCTTGTCATGTACGAAGTTGCGAAATACGTACTTAAAACATATTAAATTAGTGACTAAAACTGAACGTCTCTTGACTTATATTAGAATTTTATATCAACCATCCAGTTCGTGTTCGACTCTCGTCCGAGCAACACGCACGTTCGTCTTTCGCTCGCCTTTATAGCTTTCGATAGCGTAAAGACCAGTCTTCCAAGCAACAGACAATGTTTATTTTTATTATACCGCTATCGCAGCGCTTAATTAACTGATATCCACAACCGTCACACTACCTAATTATACGACCGCCGACCGCTCGTGGCCGTTATCGGCCTCAGGCCACCGACGCCGCTCACCTTATCTGTCTTCATAATGAACCCGTTATCTAAAACTAATAACGCTGCTCCAAAACAAACCAATACACCTATATCGCCGTTAATTCTTGTTAAATCAAAATCTAAAATTTCACAATCGAGCAACAAGTCTCCTGATGACTTCTCTGACAGCGATGATATATGGCAAACAGTAGAAACAAACAAAAGAATCAGATCTCCGCTTAAAAATTCTCCTCCTTCAAAAAAACTTGAATCGAATATATTCATTTCAACAAATCGTTACGCACCGATATCTCTCATTACCGAAAATGAACCAATGGACAGTACCAATCAACAGTCTACCGAAAATTCCTTTGAAATCAACCTCGTTAAAATTGTCCTCCCCCCCCTCCCATATTTATTCAAGCTAAACTAAACTTTAATACAATATGTCTCAAATTAAAAGAAATAACCAATTCCACGAGTTTTACATGCAAAACTACTACCAAAGGTGTCAAATTACAAACTTTCAGTTCAGATTCATATACATCTGCTATCAAATTTCTTAAAAATGAAAATGTTTCTTACCATTCATACCAGCCAAAAGACACTAAACCGTACAGAATTGTGATAAAAAATCTCCACCCTTCTACGGACAAATTATTCATAAAAGACGAACTAACCTCACAGGGCTTCCAACCCAGAAATATTACGAATGTACTTCACAGACAAACCAAGGCACCTCTCCCTATGTTCTTCATCGACTTAGAACCATATACTAACAACACTGATATCTTCAAACTTTCACTTTTATGCTACTCAAAAATTAAAGTTGAAACCCCTCGTCCAAGAAAAGACACTCCCCAATGTCTTCGCTGTCAATCATATGGTCATACATGCACCTACTGCAACCACCACCCCAGATGTGTTCGTTGCAGTGATCCCCATGACTCATCACAATGCCAAAAAGATCGAACCCAACCCGCAAAATGTGCCTTATGCGGTGGCCCACATCCTGCCAACTATAGAGGTTGCTCAGTTCACAAAGAACTCAACAAAAACAGAAAACTTTTACCATCGAACCCCTGGCGAAAAAACGCACCAACCCTCCAAGCTTCTTCCTCCTCATAAGAATCTCAAAAAAACACCTACGCGGAATTCCCGCCCCTGCCACAAAATTCTACCAACCATTCACACAGAACCCATAATGAATCTTCTATTCCTAATGTTTCAAATAACACAACGGACCAACTCACGTATTTCATTACGGAATTCAGGTCACTAATCAATCCTCTGATATCCCTACTTACATCACGAAAAACTTATCTCAAACAATGACCGTAAATAAGTTATCCTCCTTAACCATTCTTCTATGGAACGCTAACGGAATCTCCAACAACACGGAAGAACTTAAACTTGTTCTCGCTGAATAAAACATAGATATAGCTCTCATCTCACCTCCAACTCAAAATTTAAAATTTTCAGATACGACTGCCTCCAAGCCAATCACCCCGATGACTCAGCTCATGCTGGTGCCGCATTACTAATTTCCACCAAAATCAGACACTCACCTATTCCTCCTAAATCTAACCAACTCATGCAGATAGTCGCTACATATATAATTATTAACTCCATACCCACTTCTATCGCATCTGCCTACTTCCCACCAGGATTACCTTTTCCTGCAGAAGATCTGTCATTATTTCTTCAAACACTGAATCACACATACGTCATTGATGCTGACTTTAATGCGAAGCACGAAACATGGGGCTGCCGTTCAATGAACACTAGAGGTCGCACTCTACATAATTTTATTACTAACAAGGCCTCCAAAGTTATTTGTCCAGCCTCCCCCACCTACTGGCCAACTCACGCAAACCGCCACCCAGATTATCTTGATTTTTTCCTAACTAACCTCCCTAATCACATCCATAAAAATATTTCCAATCTAAACGACCCTGCGTCCGACCACACACCACTCATTCTCAAAATTCAAGCAAAAGTCGACATCCACCCATTCGTCAAAAAACGCACAGACTGGAACAAATTTCGCAATATTATGACAACTTCTTCCTCCTTAAACATAAAGTTAAAAAACCCCACTGATATAGATACCGCCATAAACACCCTCACAAACAACATCCAAGACACACTTCGAATATCTTCCACAATAGCAGCAAATCAAAACAACTTCAGAAGTCTTATCACTCCCGAAATAAGTGAGCTCATCTCTCAAAAATGCCGAGCCGAAACATTTGGCAACAAACTCACTACCCGATTGACAAACAACGGTACAATTATTTATACAACAATACAACAAACTCAAGTCAACTCTCAAGAAACATAAAAATCAACTATACACCTCTCATATTCAATCTCTTTCACCCTCAAACGGATCACTCTGGAAAAAAACTAAATCTCTTTTAAAGCATAAATCTACCATTCCCCCTCTCCGCTATCAAAACAATAATCTTGCTATCACTGACCAAGAAAAGTCAGATCTGCTTGCTAACCATCTTGCTAATATATTTAAACCTCACAACATTTCCCCTGATGCTACTCACATGCTTCAAGTTGACCAATTCATTACATCACCTCTACCCATGGTACTACCAGCCTCGCCCACCTCCCCTGGCGAAGTTCTATCAATTGTCAAAAAACTCAAGAATAGTAAGTCACCAGGCCATGATAATATAAACAACAAAACAGTCAAAAACTTACCACCAAAAACCATCATTCTCCTCACTTACATCTTTAATGCTATGTTTCGACTATCTTATTTCCCCGACACCTGGAAATCAGCACTTATTATAACTATACTTAAATCAGGCAAACAACCTGATATTCCAGAATCGTATAGACCAATCAGTCTTCTACCAACTTTTGGTAAAATTTTTGAAAAACTTCTTCTCGAGAGACTTGTGACGATCGCACTCAAACAAAATGCCCTATCCAGTTTTCAATTCTGTTTCCGAGCCAAACATGCAACTTTTCACCAACTCCACCGCGTAGTGGACCACATTGCTACATCGCTAAAAACAAGAAAATATTGCTCAGGGCTCTTTCTCGACGTTGCTCAAGCCTTTGACACTGTCTGACACGACGGTTTATTATTCAAACTAAAGACAATTTTCCCGGCACCCTACTATTTACTTTTAAAATCATACCTAAATAACAGAACATTCAGAGTTAAATTAAAAACCACATTTTCCAGCACACATAACATTCTAGCCGGTGTCCCTCAGGGAAGCGACATCGCTCCTTTCCTTTACACACTGTTCACAGCTGACATTCCAGCAACGGATAACACCCTAATAGGGACATATGCCGACGACACCGCAATACTTTCATCCACTCAAGACCCACATGAAGGAAGCGCTCTACTTCAAAACCATCTAAACAGCTTATCCCACTGGTTCAAATCATGGAAATTAAGATCAATGATTCAAAATCTTCTCATGTCACCTTCTCCCTCCACCCCGGTAACTGTCCTCACATAACATTTGAGAACGCAATCATTCCTCACACAAATGAAGTCAAATATCTCGGTCTACTATTTGACAGAAGGCTCACTTGGGCCCCCCACCTCAGAACTAAACGTAAACAACTAAATACCCGACTGCACATTCTGAGACCACTCATAAAATTTAATATTAACATCTCCAATCGTCTACTACTCTATAAATCCCTACTCCAACCTATCTGGTCATACGGAATAGCTCTTTGGGGTACCGCTAAACCATCGAACACAAGAACCATTCAAGCATTCCAAGCTATCTGCCTCCGCATGATTGCCAAAGCCCCTTGGTACGTCACGAATTCTGCCCTACATAATGACCTCCAAATCCCCACCATCAAACAAACAGCTATCAAATATTATATTCACCTGCACTCCAATATGGAACATCACTCAAATACCCTCATCGCTCAACTTCATACCATCGCTCTTCCGGACAACCCAGCCAGACGCCTCAAACGTGAATAGCCCAAAGATCTTCTCAACGTACATTAAACTCAACTTGTTTCTTTCTATCTCTCACTAGATTACCCTCCACGTAGAAATTTCTAATGTGAAACTTCAACTCATTGTCTTCCTCTTACCGCCTCTTTAAATTACTCCATTCACATTTACTTATTGTACCTTATATTGTATAGATTAAAAATGTTCATAAATAAACGATATTATAAAAAAAAAAAAAAAAAAAAATCAACCATCCAAAACATATTTTTCGCTACTGCTTTTGTACACGAAGTTTGACAGCTTTAATATTCCCACTTTAATGTTATATAATAATATGTTTGATTTCCTATCATCTATTTGAGTTCGTTTAATTTTGTCATTTTGTTTTTCAAATAAAGAAAACTAATCTTTTACGCATGGCTTGGAGACTTTCATCAACGTTTTTTCTTATACCATTACAATAAACTGCTGCGGAAAACAATAATTTCGATTATCTATATCATAACGTTTCCAAATGAAAAGGCAAATTTACGATTTAGTCAAGGTGAATGTGCTGAACACATATTACTTTAAAATACTTCTCTCGAAATTTAAAACTTTTTTATCTATCTTCTTTTCGTAATAAAAAATAATCAGACATTGATTTACAATAAAATTTTAAAACACCTTAAGTATATAGTAAATTACATCCTAATGTTCCATTTTTACCACAAGACTTAAACTAATCAAAATGCTTCAGGCGTTTCAATCCATTTGCTTACGACTAGTAACGCCTTCACTTTGGTATTTCACAAACAATAATCTATAAAAAGACCTAAACAATTCTACGCTTTATCAATTAGTACAATTACATTACTTTAAGTTTCATACCAACTATGTAATAATATACGAATACGACTCAAAAGATAGTAGCCTATAGACCTACTAAGATAAAAAACAAGAACAATTATACCTAAAAAAAATACTGGGTTGAATGGTGCTGCTGAGTGACTGCCCATAAACGAAAATTTTTGTTGATTACCGTTTATCAAATTTACTCATAATTCTAATTGTGTTGTATAGATTTTAAATAATTTTCAATAAATAAAAAAAAATATTAACCCTATGTATTTTTAAATAGTGCTTTTTATCGTGCAGCATTGTTAATTATTTCATTATTTATCTATTACGTTAAATACAATTATAATACATCAATTATAATAATTAGGAAATTTAAAAAATTACAACATTTTAAACAATATAATTTGAATTACCTAAAGTTATACTCCTTGCATACCCAAATGTTTTGAGTACTTTTCTCTTTAATTTCGCGATAAAAATATCAGAAAAGTAATTCTCACTAGTATAAAATTAATTTTCTTGGTAAACATATGATATTTTCTTATTATGAATTCGCCATTTTGTATGCTTAATAAAATAAAGATAATCCAAACCTCTAAAACTGGGTGAAAGAATTTCAAACAAACTATCTATAATAATTGAATTCCTTTTACCGTGATACCCAATATATGATTTCAATATAATATTTTCTCTTGTTGGGAATGCGTATCGACGAACAATAATAATTATCTTTTTGCACCCAAATATCTGGTGGGTGGTAGTTTTAAATTATTTACGTCAAGTAAATTGAAAAACTTTATATATTCAAATTCACCTTCATCTAATATATCGTGTAACCATGCAGCTGACATAAGCAAACAAAACAAAAAAGGCTGAACTAAGATTTTCAATTTTTAAGTCTACATAACACGATTTCCGAACGAACAATCAATTATAACTTATATAGGTAATCGAATTCCCAAGTATGAAAAAGGCATTTATTTATACCTCGTTTTTAATTAAAAATAATACACTTACTATAACATAACAAAATAAGCCCATAAAGATCATCTATATTATGTATAATTGACTTGGTCTATTAAAAACTATAGAATATTTTAATAAATGTATAAATATTAAATAGCAAAATATTTTATGTAAGTTATGATATTTCATTTTAATTAGATGTTAGATAATTATACTTTACCAAGTATTCTGCGTTTTAAAGAATTTGAGTTTTACTACACAAAAATTATTTAACTAACATGAAAAATTAATAATATAGCAAAAGTTGAAGTTTTCGTTACATAATATTTAAAAGATTCAATTAATTATTTTTTCAACAAATATTGTAGTATTACAAAAAAATTAAATCTTATTACACAATGTACATTATCCCTTATAAATATAATATATTAGTTTTTTGAGGATGAATTTTTATATGTTCAATAAAAATTTATGCATACATTAATTTACGATTGTTAACCATTTAGAAAATTTTGTTTTTATTTTACTATTTTTTTTTCATCAAAGTTATTGTACATACTACACTAACCGTTATAAGTTGATATTTTGAATGTATTAAACTAACTCAACACTGGGAAACATCTCTAGATACTCATTAAATAAACTCTCATAATATACAATACATGTGTTGCACATTAATGTATTCCAATACACGAAAAATAGGCTGGTGAACCGCCCGCTGCGCCAGGTCGAAACTAAACTGAATAAAATAAAGTTTAAATGGAAAGTAGTATGAGGTAACAAAATATGGGTAAACTAGAAATTTGCGTAATTTTGTAATTCTTACTACGCTTTATTACTACTTCATACGCATTATTCCATACGAAGTTCGATTATACACAGTTAAATATATGTATAAATAAATGTAAACTACATAATAATATAATTATTATATGAAAATAATGTGGAGTACATATTATTAAAATGTAATAAATGGCATACATTACTAAAAATCATTCACGTTTATCTATACGTTTACAGAAATCTTATTAAACTAATAAAATTACAGAGTATCATAAATATAAGTAATTAAAAAAATGATGAGCGTTAAGTAACTTGTTATACATAGTAATCTATTTTTCTTTCAACGTATACGACACTAATTAACAGCATGTAAAGGTTTATATAGTAATTTAATCTATTATGTTATAAAAATTAAAAATGTATTTGAAAATATCAATTTCTGCATTCAATTTAACATTAAAATGAACAAATAATTCAAAATTCAAAACTATCTGATACCAAAACACAATAGAAACACCTATAACCAGCATATAACCACGAAATTATTAATATTCTAAATGTATTATCTACAAATTTTTAATAAGTATATTTCCATTTTGTGACTGATGTACGCGCAAATCATAAAGTAATTCGAACCGCTAAGAAAACTAACATTGATGATTTGACATTTAGAACTATATTTTAGAATAAAATTTTTATTCTAGTATACACATATTTTAGATTATACAAATACAGTTGAGTGTTAATAAATTCGATATTAATTGACGTATTTATATTGAGCCAATTGTAATTTAGCTAAATGCATATATGTTAAATTGAATTAACTACAAATCGTACATATTTAGAGAAAAAAAGAGCCTGACCAGTTTAATAACCATTTCTGTGTAATGCGAATTATAAAGTTTTAGTTGCACGGCGAAACCATAGTGATATCTAGCTTGGGCGTTAATGTTTGATTATCCACAAAAAGTAGCGAATGCCGAACTAGTATATTGTTATTCGACCATCTCGACATACTTCCAACATACTCGTTTTTGATTATCGCGATCTACTGTTATTGTATACCTCTCACTCGATCACGACCGATTTGATCGATCAATAGCGTATCGACACCCAATGTTCGCAACAAACCGCGTGGCATCGATCCGCCGTTGCAAAATGATCGTCTCCGTCCAAGTGATGTTGACCGCATTTACCTGGGCGCTAGTGGACGCCGGCACCATGAACCTGTCGCCTTGCTCGCCATCTGTCCACGGGGACATCGCGATCCGCAATTCCGTCGGCGGCTGCGAGTACCGCAAGAGATCCGTCGTTCGGTGTCAGCACTCGAAGGCAGGATGGACACAGAACTCGGAGGTACCGATAACACGTCCCTTGGGATGGTCGCGTCTGCGGTGGACAACGTCGACGTCAGCGTTGTCGTCAGACTTTTCTCGGGCCACGCCTCCGTACACAGTCAAGGCCAGTTCCGCCGCCACCACCACCACCAAGCCGCGTCGTCACCGTGCGTCCGTCATTGTGGCCCGTTCCGTCATGGCCACTCGTCCTAACGACGATCTGGCCCGAGTGGTCGTTAATCTACCCGGGTTTAATATGCAGATGCAGCTACGGTCACAGCCGACGCTACCGCCGTCAACTACTCGTATTTGTCCGTGCACCACCTGCACCATTCGGGTGGAAACGCGAAGACCGTGGAGTTCGACCACTGAAACACATACGCAGCCGCCAACCATTACTCCCTCTACCTGCACCACCACCACTTGTGCTCAGTCAACGAGCACCACCAGCACGTGTGCACCATCGACGAGCACCACCACCATATGTTCTTCGACCACGTGTACCACCACCACTTCTGATCCACCGACATGCGCGACCACATGCACTAGGATAAGAACAACTGCATCACCAACACCACCAAATACTTTACCGAACGGCCGTTCAAATCTTTCGGGGACTTGGCTGTTGCCAATACAGAACACCCGGATGTCACCGACACGGAGCAGCACTCAGCCGTCGTTGTCAAATTAGGAAACCCGGTATCCTTACCGGATCCAGTGGCCGCAAGTACGCAACCGGGATAAAAAAAAATGTCCATCCGGCAGTGGTTTAAATGGTAAAAATATTGAAGGGGGACTCTAGGGGAACATGGGGGAATGACACACATTTAAAGAAAAACCGATCCTGTGAGCCTCAAGTATGTCACACTGATTGAAATAGTTGCCATTATCTTTATTGATATCTTATACATATCTTATACATATCCAAAAGTTAGATAACGATTACTGGTTCGAATTGGTATGGCGTGTATTAATTGAACACCCATGATTCGTTTTGTTTATGTATGTTTGGTGCAAAAATAATATGTATCATGTGAAATGAGTATATTATCTTAGTTATATATGTTTATAATTATATTAAAAAATAGAAATGAAAGTTACTTAGAGTATATTTATTTTATTTACATAATATATTCATATAATTTTTATTAGTATTATAAAAATACTGATTCTAACTACTATTGAAACATTTTTTTTTTAGCATTTGCGAATTTTTTTATATTTTCTGTTTGTATATAATGCGGTAAAAAGTTTTAAATTTAAAGTCTTAAAAACTTTAAATATAGAAAATAACCTCGGACATACTGCCAGGGTGTGTGAATGCATAGCCCGCATATGCCTTCTACCGGCCCTGATCATGTAATTTAGTACCTATCTATATGTTTTTCTTAAAAACGTCGAACGATTACGATCCTACTTTTTTATTTTCTCCGAATTCATTTTGGAAAATTACTCCAATTATCTAAACAACGAATGGTGTTTAATAACCAGTGTTGGGATTTATCTAGATAAATTATCTAGATAGATTTTTTGTCATCTTTTATCTTATCTAGATAAATAACGCTAAGTTATCTAATTACTTATCTAAGTTAAAATTTTTACTTATCTAGATAATTGTCTGTATTCTTGCCAAGATTGGAGTTATTTTTATTCTTGTACGGAGATGAATCCAACAAATTAGAAATCATCGAAATCGGTCCAGTCTTTCTTGAATTATAAATTCTGTAAATAACCTGACTTTCTTTTATACATATAGATTTTGTATTCATAATCATAATTCGTGTATTATTAATAAGTAATTATTATTTCTTGATATGACATTTTATTTGTATTTTCATATCGGGAAAATATTTTTGGAATTTTTAAATTTAATTTCTTATTTTTCTATGGAAGTTCCAAATATAGTAGGTATTTGATTTTAGTATACACACGTAACTCAAACGCTGAATAGTTATTACTTCACTCTTGGAACCCGTAAAGTCGTAAATACTTATAAAATAAAGAAAATTATCAAATTAATATTATATAGAAAACAATATTGTTAACTTAAAATATTTTTTTATGTATTCTGTATTCATCCTGATACGTACAAAGCAATTTTCATTTTTTTTTTTTTTTTTGTTAACAATTTAGTGATTAACTGTCATTAAATATTACACAATATTTATAAATACTTCTTAATTGTACACTACATTACTACAATAAACATTAAACACCTAGGTACCTATTGATAATAATGATTATAATCAGGGACGTATTTAAGGGGTGGGCCTATGGGCCCGTTCCCCACCCCCCATTCACCGTATTTTATACTTTATTTATTATTGTAGGCCCTCTTATTTTTCACGCACGGGCACACTGTGAAATACTGGAATATCAATATATTATGATAATATTATACCATCGATTAAACGGATTATCATTGTATACACCCACCCTGAAATAATTATAAAACCTGAAGAAGTAGTTGATGCATATGTTAATAAACACCCCAGACGTCTTCAGTTATTGTAATTACAAAAATTATATTTAAAAATATGTTTTATTATAAATTTGTGTAATAAAAGTTTATGTTTCTATCAAACACTTGTATTTTGATTTTTTGGTTATGAATAATGACAGTTTTTTGAAAAGGAAAAGTTATAACTATGTATACTTTGAACTTTTTGTTTGTGCCCCCCCCCCCCATAAGACATTCCTAAATACGCCCCTGATTATAATTGAGTCTTCATCGATATTATTAGAATATGAAATATTGACCAAAAAATAACATTTTTTGAAAATATTTTTTTTTTATCTAGATAAAAATGAAATTATCTTTTATCTTTATCTAGATATTTTAATTTTTTTTATCTATTATCTTTATCTAGATGAATTTGGACATATTATCTTTCATCTTTATCTAGATAAATTTTACATTATCTATTCCCAACACTGTTAATAACAAATTTTATCTAGCAAGACATTTCCAATATGTAATTTTTTATTTTTTCATTAATTTTTAACATAGTGAAAAAAAAATGATGAAGAATTTAAAAAAAAAAACAGATAAATGTATAAAAAAATGTTATATTGGTACAAACTTACACTTTTCACTGAATACTAATATCATCGTTTACTAAAAATGATATATTTTTCAAAAGATTTTTGACTTGTTTTGTCCCATTTATAAACAATTAAAATGTTCATAATTTCTAAGATTTTTTGTAAAATGTCGATCAAATAATTACTTTATTATGTTTAATATTCAAAACAAAATTCCTTGTATAAATGTCTAACTTTTTTTCAATGATATTGAAAACTGAAGTAGCGATTTTTTTTTACATCAAATAATTTATAAAGTTACGACAAATTGCAACATTATTATATTTAATAATTTATAAAATTGTCAATTTTAATACATAATGCTTTAAATTAAATAAAAGATCTTCACAAATTGGTATCGTAAAAAATGTTTCTAAGCTATATAGTATAAAATTTAAAAAATTGGATAATTATACGATTTTCGATTAAACCATATTACTTATTTTGTTATTCTGTTGTCTAAAAATAATGTTATAACCCGTTTTTTAAATATAATATGAATAAATACTAACAGGGTTTCTGAATAATTATTTATAGAAATGTACTCGACTAATATGAATGAATGATTTCTTTAGCCTTTAAAATATAAAATATGCATGAGGCAAATAGGGAATATAAAAAGATATTTAAATATCGTAAGGTAAACAATGTTATACTTAACGCTCGCATATAAATTATAATATGTATAATTTATTATTTTATTTTTATTGTATTTATGACTACTCGTCTTTTAAACAGAGATGCCTAAGGTATTAAAAAAAAATACAATATCAATAATGAAGATTACAGTGGTAGGTATATTATTATTAAGTTTTTTTTTTAAATCTTAAATCTAAATGATAAAAAGGAGCCATCTGGTATAAAGTAAAGTAAGTTCTGCGAGCACACAACTCAAAACTCGTTTTTGAATAAGTAATACGCTACAGAATTCATTAGATTTTTCACTTTGCTCGTCTTGTGATTTAATTAAAATGTATTTTATGTTTCGTAAACATGCGTGCGCCAGACGTGAGACAAAAGTTTAGTACTAATTATAGATATACGCTTACGTGAGAGGGACAAACTTTAGAAGAGGTTACACTTGTCCCGACCTTAGAAAAACTATTCCCTTGATAATAAAAATGTCAATAGCCTTAGAATGTGTCCTTGGAAAGCCAGCTCCAGACCAAGCTGAACCTAGTTTTATCTACAATAAAAATACAAAGAAAAATTTTTTTTCTGTATTTAAAATACATTAGTTAGTACCGCTAGGTTTTTTCAAGAAAAGTATTATATGACGCTAGTTATCGATATTAGGCATCCAATTATGATGTCAACAAATTTATAGAATGTTAATTTTCAACTAACTATATATTCATTGCAAAAAAATGCTTCATTGATCAAAGGATATAACAAAAAAAAAAAAAGGTGTTAGATATCTTTACTTTTAAAATACAAAAAAAAATTAAATGGGAAGAGATCTGGGACTCCCTATGAATTATGGTTTAGAGTTTAGGTACTGACCAAAAACATTTTAAATTATCAAAAGAAAAGAAAAATTTGTTGAATTTAAATTGGAGTTTTGTATTTATATTTGAATGGTTTAAAATTGATTTATTTTTATTTTTCACGTGATTTAGACGAAAAGAAAATATTTGTATATTAACAAAAAGAAAATTTATTGCATTTAAATTTAAATAAAGAGATATTTATTATTTAACACGCTCTAGTCTCCCAAACACTTTCGAGGGAACAACAGGATGAAGATCCGAAAAACGGAAAGGTCACCTTAATCATATATTGTATGCTATGCTTCATAGAACACAGCCAAATAAAACTTAATATTAAAGAATTCTTGGGGTTCCGCGAGAGAATACTGCTTGAAAAATTTTGGGAATCGCTGATCTGAGTAAGTTAAGTCTACGGTCAGACTAGACCCGGCAACGGCCGAATACTGACGAAAAAAATAAAAGTATGAAATTAAAATTGTACCGGTCACATTACATCCAATAAATTCGGTCGTTAACGGCCGTACACTGCCGATGTCGGATGAAAACAAAATATTTTGTTTTTTCCGGCCAAATCGAACGAATAATTTAAATTTATACCAACTATTAATTAATTTCTAATTGTACTTGGGTATATTTAATACTTTACTATTCATATCGACAAATCTATATTATTATTCCAAAAATAAAAATAAAAACAAACAAATGAAAATAACGTAATTATATATATATATATATATATATATATCAACATTATGATACACGAGAAGTATATTTGTCACTTTAATTTTGTCATTCGGCTCTATAATATAACATTTAAAACATGGTTGACTTTGAAAAATTAATAACTTTAATATTTGAAAAAGTGCCTTTAAGATAATTTTAATCAAAATCTTACCACAAAAGGGACATTTGTAGAAAATTGTGGAAAGATGCATTTTCTAAAATTAGATTGTTTTTCCAAAAAAAGGTTGGATTTTATGTAAAATACAATAAAATGTATCAGGGAACATACGTTGTTCAAAATCATTTTAAGTACAAATAATTTAATAAATTATGTGAAACATTCTATGTCCTAATATTTAAAACTGTGATGAAATATTCTAAATCCTAATAATTTAATAAACTGCTGTGAATCTAAGCCCAGACCACAGCATAGGTTAACACTGGCGTGAAGGTGCTCGGTGCCGCATAGCTAGAACTCGTCTGATTTGCTCTTGTTTCCCTTATGTACCCGATATCCATATCCATAGTAATTGACGCACGTGTGTGTGTGTCTGTGAAAAATGATAATCTTTATTGAATTTTGTGTGGGACCGCGTATGTGTGATAATGTGTATGATTTACTCTATCTCACGGATGTGGTTGTTTGAACAATCGTTTTTTTCATTTGAATTTTGTATAGGTATATGTCGAATGTACGTGGGATGACGTTTGTGTGATGATGTATATGTTTCAATACATCCACGGATATGATAATCTTCATAATCATCTATTTGTTTCCGTGTGCGTATGGTAATCATAGAGTAATATTAATAATTACTCTATGATGGTAATTGTTCCAAGCTATTATTAATTGATACGCAGGACGCGACAATCACATTAACTGACCCGCCGAACGCGGGAACATAAGAAAACAACTTTTTTTTTTTTACCGCGGGCTATAAAAAAAATGTATTTTTCAATTTTTTTTTTTTTCACGTAAATGTAAAATATTATAGTTACGCAAATAAGTGTTGTAATGTAGAATACTTTCGCGGGCCAGATATTAAATGATGGCAGGCCATAATTTGGCCACCACCGTTCTACAACACCAAATGCACGTAAAAGTAACGTATAGAAATCTGTGATGACGTTACATAATTATCTCCAACGTCATAATATGAAACATATCAACATATTAACGTATTATGTGCTACGGTTAGGTCCAACGATAACGCGATATTACCGCGCGGCCGTTGATAACACGAGTACGAGATAAGATCGGGGTGACGTCACTGGCGCGCAGTCGTTTATCGCGGTGAAGTGATAATGGAAATCTCAAAAGTGCGATTATTTGTTTCATTATCGCACCGATGCAAACCTAACGTGTACGCCTTATCAACACGACCGAATAGTAATAATAATAATATCGAGTTTTTCACCGTCTGTCACCCTACGCCATCCGGCGAACATATTTTCGTTTAGAAACCTCGTCCGTTGCGTTCAGTGCTCGCGGTCTTCACAGGTCGTGTGATCCGTTCCCCTGTCGCACGCCGCCAAACGACATGGCTTCGATCGCTGCTTAGAGTGTCGTCCGGAAGTGGCCGCCAATGCGCTGCAGATGGAGAAGTAAGTACGCCCCGTATTAACAGCCACGCCACGCTCCCCTGTACCCCTAATGTTCATCACCTATCGAGCCTTCGTCGGAACGCGCGTAAAAAAGTACCAGAGCTATCCGAATGGTCAGCAAAAGGGTTAAACCTCGGCCACTTGCCGTTTCATCCCCACGGCGAATCATTTAGGAAATGGAACGGTTGTAATTCAGGCCACTAAAGTTATCGCTTTTACCGTTCGGCACGTTACATAACTGTCGCGGACAGGTTAGACACACCCTTTCGAGACCCGCGAAATCCGTTTTACAACAACTGTAATGTAATACATACCCAACCCCTAATGTTTCTATAATATGTTGTACTTATTTCAGCAAACTGTTAGCCGACTATGAACAGCAGTTTGGTGTGACAAGCGCTGAGATCACATCGAAAATCAGCAGGCTTGGTCATATTGTATGCAGTGAGTAAACAATGCTAAACTCCATATCAGTTGTCTCTAATTTTATTGTTTTCCACTCGTTCAGATGATAGAAATGACTACATCAAAGAAATTGAACGGAACCTTGACGAGGTTCACGATCTGGTATGTACTAATCAGCATTATTATCAATTGCATTATTGTGTTTTAACTTGAATACCCTATATTTTCAAGTTGGAACAAATGGACCTCTCTGTCAAAGAATCTGATGTTTCGATACGTGCAAAACTGCACATTCGTGTGGCCAGTTATAGGGCCGAACTACACAGATTGGCTAAAGAGTTTGCTCGGGCAAAGTGCACGGTTAACATTAATTTAGGTACTTAAAGACTGGGTTCAATAGTAATAACAGTGATAAAGTAACTAATTTTTATATATAAATATTGCAGAAGATGATAATCATTTTGCCGAAAGTGAAGATGTGACTTCCGAACAAAAACAGAGACTACTCTATACATCTGAACGTCTTAACCAGTCAGAAATACAATTAGATAACACTTACCGTATTGCTGTCGAAACTGAAGAAATTGGTTCACAGATATTGACTGATTTAAATCGTCAACGAGAGACTATGCAGAACTCTTTCAACAGGGTAAGTCTTATTTACAAGAGAAAACTTTCAATTCTAATCTTATATTATTTTGAATTGTAGCTGAGAGATGCAAATGCAGATCTTGGAAGAAGCACTCGAATGATAAATGCTATAATCGTGCGCTCTAGACAACATAAAATCATACTAGCCAGTGTCATGGCAGCGTTTTGTTTCTTCTTGGTTTTTGTTTTTTATCGTTCTTTCTTTTGAAAAATACATTCCTATTTAAATTGTTTTGATTAAGTTATTACATTTTTCAATCTGTTTTGTGATTATTATTGTTTATATATTATGAAAAGAATATGATGTTTATTTTGGAACAACTATTTTTATGTTGGCAATGAAACAATGTCTTATTATTTTTGTGTCAATGATTTTAATGATTATGCTTAGCCGAATTTCGATGTAACTATATTCATGTTACTTGATTCCACATTTTTTTTATCTTACTTTGTTATAATCGATTAAATTGGTTATCTTGTGATAACAAAATGTACACAATTAATTAACACTTGTATAATTAAATTATTAGATAAATAAACATTTAAAAATAATCAAATACAGTATCACAATGGTTTAAAAATAAGTTCTTTAATTAATTATTTGTACTTATATTCACCCAATAACTCACAATATAATTATTTACAATTAAATATACAACACTAGTACTTGTAAAATTGATTCATTGTCTAACTATACAATATTTAATTTGTAACCATTGTTCAGTATGCTATCTATATATCATTTTTAATCTTATTCAAAAATTTTCAGAATAATACTGTGAAACTGTAGTAGAAACGAACTAAATTTTAATACTATTTAGCTAAATTTATTTTTGAATAATTTAATTTAATTCAAATTTAAAAAAAAAAAATTATGAAAAGTCAGTTAATTGCACATATTGATTCAAAAGATTTTAGAAAAATATTAATATTTTGTTAATTAGTGGATTATTAACATTAATAATCCACTTGTACATTATAGTTAATCACTGATAATATTGTAAAGAAAAACTAAAAAATTACAGAAATATATTAGATGGCATATTGAATTAGTCAAATTTATTTTTTAATTTAAGGATCTAACAAAGACTGATATAAAGATATTGAATTGAAAATATTTTCTATTACAATATATTGTATTAATCAAAACTGTTGATTAGTTAAAAGTTAAACAGTTAAAAAAAATATTATTTAAATAACATAATATATTAAATACATATTGGAAACATTATATAATACATTTGTTCTTTAATTATTTTCTAAGTTTTATAAACTGTAATAATTAAACATTGGATATTGATTTAATTTAATATAATATGAAATACAATTTCAATATTTATTTATATTTTTTTAATTTGTTATACAAACTAAAACTTTTATTAAAAAAAAAAAAAAAAACAAAGAACAACGAAATGTTACCATACAATTACTATTAAAAGATTTATTTAAAAATTCATGAATTTTATTAAAAGTATAATCCAATTTATGTAAATCGATAAATACAATACTTATGGTTGAAATTCATTTTCGATTAAAAAAAAAAACTTTTTAATTAGTTCTCCAGCTTCAACATCTGATTTACTGATCATTGCAGTAAATTGAGGAAAATCATTGGCTAATATCTATTAAAAAATAAATAAATAAATAAATAATATTTAATAAAATAAAATTTATAATCACAGGGGACATCAAATTTTTTAGTATTAAAAGTATTAAAAAAAACAGAAAAAGAAGTTATTACAAATTTATAAAAAAAAATGTAAGTAGGTATGTATGTAAATAATATGAATCAATGTGCTCTGTGGACTTAGGTAAATGTTGGTCATATACACGCTGGCATAGATTTTTCGTTCAAGACATACGAGTATATGTACAATTATTGTACATATATGTACTACAATATATTCTTTGCTCGTCTGGTTGCTCTTCCCTAATATCCCTAATATCTATCCCTAATATATATGCTTGTGATTATGATGTTAAAGCATAACTATATACGAGTACATGTCTACAATACAAATATTTACCATTATTTAGAAATGTATTAAAAATATATTTACCGAACTATCAAAAAGCAATACAAAATTATTTTCAATCATCAAAACATTTTATTATGCTTTTGACCTTAAAAAAATATGATTACGTTCTCCATAATCCTACTTTTTTTTTTATCATTATTTAACTTTTTTCATTTATCAAATGTTTTTATCTTTATACTATAAACCAGGGATGGGCAACTTAAATTTACTATAGAGTGTTAGTATCTATATACAATAAGTAGAGTCAATTTGTGTAACGATAACAAAAAAAAAACTTAAATAGTACAATTGTACAAGTGAAGAATGTGTTCCCATTGATTCAACACTACTAAGTTTAATTTTTATAAGTAGGTAAATACATAATAAAGATATGTGAATAATATTGAGTGAATGCCATCACACATTAATTTATAGATTATTTTTATTACTATACTGCGTGGATTAGGTACCAATATAAATAATATAATAAAATTTATAAGGGGTTCAACAAATACATCAGTGATTTCCATTTTTCCTAGAGTCATATCACGTATTTATGTTATTTACCGAAAACGTTTAGACACAAAAACATTTACGTAAATCTGTCACAACAATGAGCAGTACCGCAACTACAAAATAGGAGGCCCGTGTGCGGTAATTATATAGGCCCCTTCCTAGAATTTATTTTTGTTCAATTTAAGTATCAATTTTTTTAGGTTTTAAAACATGTTTCACATCAATTATTGTATGATATATGTATATATATATATATATCAAACTAAATACCTATAAATGTTGTATATAATACTTCACTACATATTTATGTAGTAAATTTATTTAAGTAGTTTAGGTAGGTATTTTGTATGCCTACTCAAATACTCAATGGACTCATTGTTAAATAAATATTATATTATTCTAAAATATTATAACAATCTTGCCTGAATTTTAAAAAGTTTTCTTTTTATTATTAAATAATTGAGTGTTTGTAAAGTGTAATTTATTTCAGGCTGGGACTAGGGGGTCTCCAAATGTATGTAAGCCTTGGGGCTGGCAAACTCTGCACACCCAGTTTTGCGGCACTGACAGTGAGGTATACGATAGAGGTATTAAAACGGTGCATCGTGAGAATTGGCGAAGGAATTCTTCTAATCGAAAACCAATATTAAATTATATATTTTTCAAAGGATTTGATCGTGAACATAAAAATTTAACGTGGAATTTGTACTAATGGCGGTAGCTTGTTCTATGGCAGAATGTTATAATTGACTTCAAGCTATCATCAAACAAAAAACCGCACGTGGGTGTTTGTATGATTCACAGAGAAGCTCTTGCTTTAAAATGTATCGGTCCGACTCTTGATGAGGTACTGCAATCAACTATTCAAATCGTATATTTCATCAAAACTCGACCATTGAAATCCAGTTTTGAACAATTATGTGTTAATTTAGAAACTCATTCTTCTATACTTCACCATTACCACTCTCGATGACTTTTACGTGGAAATTTAATGACAAGGGTATTTGAGCTTAGAATATTGGATTTTTTCTTTAAGATCACAATAGACCAGTGGTGTGGGGTGGGAGGGGATTAAAGTTTTTCTAAAAAATAATTAATTTTACAATATTATAAAAATACATACTCGTTAATAATTATATTACTATACAAATATTACAACCACATGATTTAAGTTATTGTTCTCTTTCTCTGTACTTTCTTAGCCAGTCATTTATGACTTGAACTTTTTTCTTCTTCTGGGGGAGGGGTTGAGACCTGGAAACATCTTCCCCCCCCCCAAAAATAAATAAATAAACCACTACAATAGATATTACGATAAATTTAAGACACTAATTTTCTAACGAAGTAGTCATATTTTTTTTTTAAGTTGAATATACTAAATAAACCGATGCAAGGGAATCAGATTCCCAATTTTGAGTTTCATGGAAATTAGTCCTATGGAAGACTAAAATAGAAGAGGACGCTTTTAATGGCTGCTTTTCTAGACTCAATACATTTCTAATCGAAAATTATTTGATACACAGTTGAAAATGAGTTCATTGAACCTCAAAATTCACTTTAAACACTATTTTTCACTGAACACTAATCAACAAAGTTGAATCAAGTATCCTTTCAATAATGACTTTCCAATAAACAGTGGCTATTGTACGGAGGAGTCCAGGGGTCAGAGCCAGTGGCGGATTTAACGGTAGTTTATTCATCAAATGCCGACGAGGCCCCCTCCTTAATTGTGTACCGAGGCCTACCTAAATTATGTAATTGATTTTTCTATTAATTTTGACTAAAAAAAATTGTATGTTGCAAACTGGGATATAATTTACAATTGTTTTATTAGTAAAATAATTTAAATATTTAGGAATACTTAAATATATAAGTAAATTTAAGTTATAAAACATTCTATATTTCTACGTAGTAGATATTGATCAGTAATGACAAATAATATTATTTATAATAATTATAATCAATGTTACAATGTAATCAATTTCGCTGCATCGGTTTTCCTATACAATACAAATTAAAATAGGTACACCAATATCAAGTAGGTACCTACTTTGTTATCATGGAAAATAAAATAACCATCAAGTATCAACAGTCACTTGTGAGTTTGTGGTTAATAAAATCTATTATTTTAATCCAGTGGTTCCCAACTGGTGTGCCACGATATCTCTATAAATTGTTTTATAAGTATGTATTTACCAGCTTATTATATATATATATATAGCCGAAAAAAAAAGAAAATTGTTTTATTATTGATGATGTGTAATATATTCGTGTTTTCATTATTACGCTTTGAGCTTAAAATATAGGTACAACTATTATATACAAATATTATGATAATTAAATAATTATATTGATAGGTGTTTGAAAAGTTTTGTTAACTATACTGTTTTTATATTCCAATAGCTATTAATTTACTGTAATGTAAAAGTAAACTGTAAATTGGTAAAAAAGTTGTATAAAATAATATCTATTTATAGCAGATATTTATCTTATTTATCTGTGCAACAAAAAAAAAAAAAAAAAAATAACGATTATTTTTGTCACCCCCCCCCCCCAGAGTAAGATTGAATGTACGCCACTGGATTGGTGTGCCGCGAAAATTTTGTTGGAGATGAAGTGTACCGCATTGTTATAAAGGTTGAAAACCACTGTTTTGATCATTTGATTCCAATTCGACGTAACGACAAGTCGCATGAAGACGCAATCAAGATTGTATGACAAATAAAAATAATTTTGTAAGAATAATAACAATCTTTTCATTACTTAATCTGCGGCCCTGTCACGTAAGTTATGATTTATTGAATACTGTTTTCGCGATTAATTCGCAACATTCATAATATTGAAAATGTGATAAACAGGGCTGTGAATTTAATGTATATGCATTATGTTTTGCATATTGCATATGTTCATACATTTAACGAGTTAGGACATTGTTTCTGCCGTTGAATAAATATAAAGTTTTTGTTGATATTATTATAGAGAGGCAATGAGTAATTGCCTCCACACCATCAATTGGTATTCACTTATATTTCTACGTTTTATATCATTATAAATGAACAGTGGATAAATGTTTGATTGTTAATGTTTGTGTACATGTTAATGTACAACAAATTTAAAAAGTTTTGTTACATGTTTAATTTTGTTCAGTAATGAAATAATATATTTACACATATTGTTATTTAATTTATATTATGTGTTATTAGTTGAAGAAGTATAATTGATACTAGTTTTTAGAGCATTGTCAAAAATACTTGTCAAAATGACAAGTTTGAAAAAAAATAATTCAAATAAAGTAAAACATCAACTTCGTTTAAAAGGTCTGTGTAAAACAGGGTGGTCTGCTAGAGTTAAAGCAATTGAATCGTTACTTTCAAATTTTCAATCCATTGTAAAATGTTTAGAAGAAGAATCTGAAAATTTAGAAACTAATTCTGAAAGTTTATTCCAAGCTAGATGTTTAATAAAATGTTTAAATTGGGTATTTTTTTTTTAAATTTAATATGGTGGAATAAAATACTACAAATGATTAATGTAGTATCCCGATTATTACAGTCAAAAAGTAATTACTTGTTCTTGGCGTTACAAAGTTTTCAATCTGTAGTTGACAAATTAAGTATTTTAAGAACTCATGATCAATATAATGCTTTTGTTATAGAAGCAAAAACTGTTAGGTCAAATTTTGATATCTTTACAGTTGTTTTAGAACCAACAGAATTTCAAAAGAAGAAGACAAAAAATATGCCGTTACAAATTGATGAAAATACTAAAGATATAAGTTTATCAGAAAAAGAAAAATATAGAAAAATTTATTTTGAAACATTAGACATGATTGGTGAATTAAATAAAAGGATAAATTAATCTTCCAAAGTCTTAGATTTGTTTTATTTTTTAAATCCAGATAAACTAAGAAAATTAAATATAGAAGAAAAAGTGCAAAGCTCTTATGTTACAGTATAATTACTTAATTGTAAACGAATTGTCTCTTGAAATAATGTCGTTTTAGAGTTATTATTTTGATTCAAAAGAATCAGAAAGCACAGATAATAATGTATTATGTTATTTGACATTCAATATTAAACATTCATTGTCTGATGTATTGCCCCAAATGGAAACTCATTTAAAAATATTTTTAACGCTACCCATTGGAAGTGCGAATGTTGAAAGAGCTATGAATGTACTAAGAAGGTTAAAAAATTATCTTCGTTCAATTATGGTTCAAAATCAAACAAGCAATTTAGCTTTACTTTCAATGGAGTATGAAGCAGCACAAAATCTCGATATGACTGAACTAATCGAAAAGTTTTCTAAGGCCAAAATTCGCAAAAGGTTCGTAAAATTCGTAAAAGCTATAATTTTTTTAAATTTAATTTTATACATCTATTATAAATTTTGTTTTATTTGTAAAAAATAAATAAAAAACATTTTCTATTACTTTTATAAAAAGAATGTTGGTTGGTCATTGTTTTCGTGAGCGAAGCGAGCGGTTTTGTAAAATAGGACTAACTATGTTACTGAAATTTTTTACGAGGTCCCTCTTATGGATTTGCTGACTTTATTTGAACCCTTAAATCCGCCACTGGTCAGAACCCTCCCCCCAGTGCCGCAAAAACCGGGTTTGCAGAGTGTGCCGCACACATGGGCCCCAAAGCTTACATACATTTGGGGGGCCCCGTAGTCCCAGCCTAAAATAAACTACACTTGACAAATACACAATTATTTAATAATATTATATTATTATTTTATAATAAAAAGAAACTTTTTTTAAAATTCAGATAAGGATGTTATAATATTTTAGAGTAATCTAATATTTATTTAACAATGAGTCCATTGAGTATTTGAGTAAGCATACAACATACCTACCTAAACTACTTAAATAAATTTACTATATAAATATGTAGTGAAGTATTATATACAACATTTATAGGTATTTAGTTTGATATATATATATACATATATCATACAATAATTGATGTGAAACATGTTTTAAAACCTAAAAAAATTGATATTTATAAATAAGACGTACAATAAAAATAAATCCTAGGAAGGGGCCTAATATAATTACCACACATGGGCCTCCTATTTTGTAGTTGCGGCACTGCCTAACCCTCAGATCCCGAGATTGGGCTGTGATATACTATTTGCTTGAGACGTTTGAGTTTTAAAGTTAAATAATGTTTTTTTTCGTTTATAGTATATAAGAATTCAATTTTAGGTAATAAATTATTAATGGAATTAACATTTTTGTGATAAGATAATTATAGATGATAAATATAAGATGATAATAAGAAGATTTTAAAGGACCCTCTTCAGAAAAAATTCTAAAAGCCGCCACTACCAACAAGTATGACATACGTTGAACAGGAACAATTGGTCAGTGTGACATCAGATTCCACAATGCAAATCATATTCGTATCACGGTCGTTAACCCAATTTCAGAAACATGGGAAACTGCAATAACCAGAATTAGCCAACAAAGCTCTGAAAAATGTAACATTTTGCAACTTTATATTTAAATGAGACTGGATTTTCTGTGGTTTTAACCAAATATTGATCCAAGGTAATCGTTGAGGAGGCGAGAACAGCCATTTCTAATCTAGATCATTGATTCGACTATTTTATGAAACATAAACAAGTCCATACATCTTACTGAATACTAATTAATTAATAAATCAATTTATGTTACTAAGCATGAAACATTTGTATTAAAAATGTTACTCTATATTAAATGAAGTTATAGGTAGGTAGTTAAAATGATGGTAAAGAATGGTAAGCCGAGTTTCGATGCGATACTGTGATGTTTAGTACATAAGTATGAGAAATAAACAATCAAGTTATAATGATTCATTCCCACAAACACCAACGTCGGTCAGACGGACCAAACATCCAGACGGATAGTCTTCTTTTTTTAAACAATGAGCGAGTCCTACGATTTATATGTCGAATGGATTATACTTACCGCCGAACATTTGCTCGTAGCATGTGTCCCCTGTATCTGTAAAGCTATCACCGATGAAACTTTTTTATTTCCAAACAGTTTTGCTCGTTCTTGAAACATTTTTACATCTTTTCCATCAATGTGGTTGCATTTGATCAGAATTAAATCTGTGTCCTGAAATGACGATAATGAAATATGCAGGTATCACAATCATGAATCAATCAAATATTCGTTATGCTTATGAATATACCTACTTAAACTGTAGCTAAAAAAAATAATCTTAATTGGATAATCAAGGAATGGATTTATGGTTTTTATTCTACACAGTAATTAATTATAGGTTAACCATAAACGCAATTATAAGGGAAGCGATTTCCCATGGGCATTTTATTGTATTAGCGTATTATTATGTTAGGTATCAAATACATGTCTTCGTTAATCGTGTTAATTGTAATTATTTATTTATAAACCGAAAAATTGGAAAACTGATGAATCGTATCGTATTCGTAAAGCAATTTTGAATAAATATTTTTTCTAAAATACATAAACCATTAGACTTATACCCATATATGTGAGTGAGATTCAAGAGTGGACATATTGGACTAACATTTAGAGGGAACTTAGGTGCACTATGTGAAAAAAAACAATGGATTCAGAAATAATTAACTAGTTAATATGGTAAATATTATTACTTTCAAACATTTGTTGTAGAAAAAATAAAATTTCCAAGAAAATTTCTTTTAAAATGTAGTTAAAATTTTGAAATATTAACTATTATCTGGTTATCCATATTTTTTTTTTTTAATAATACACGTGTCGTACCTACGGTATACGTATTATAAACTGATTGGTGAATTACAGTAAATAACTGAGTTTGATGGCTAATATACTATCGCATACTAGTTATTTAAATCGAACTTATCTAACATTACAGATTACTAACTGCAAGTTTACAAATTCCACATCTTGTTACTAGGAAATTGGGAAAACTGTTAAATAAATAAAACATAATTTTTGATTGTAACTTTGAATGTAAAAAGACACTAGATACAAGTCAAAAAGGTATTTAAATACAAGACACAAGATACTTTAAAATTATGCTTCTCGTATACGTATTCTAAATATTTACATCTAAGATACTGCCCAGCCTTGGGTAAGATACATTAAAACATCGTTGTTTATTTTTGTTTTATTCTTTTATTAATTTTCTGTCGAAGTTTCACGTCGGTAAAGCTTTTTCCGTGCCAACACATGAAACTTTTCTTTCTCTCACAATCATAAATAATCTTTTTTTATTTTTTTTTTATTCATTTTCCTTTTAGTATTATAAGTTACAAAAACCCAATCGATAGTTATTTTAATTATCTTTTAATTTTTGTAATGGAATAGTTCAAAATTGAATCTAAAAAATAACCCGATTTGTAAATGATAAATACGAGCAAATACATATATTCATCGAATTGCTAGAGCACGAGACCAAACCTAATACCATAAATATATTCAAAATCGTGGTGGCCGTGCATTTTCTACTGGGCAGCAGATTTGTCGGGAAATTGGGAATATAACAGTCTATGAAATGAGATATCGGTGAATTAGGTTTCAGTGACGAGGGAAAACACGAAGAATTTATGTTCGGTTTCTGGAGTAGTCATAGCCTTCATGATTTATATCACCTATGGATTCTTCACGACTTAAGCCGGGTTCCCACGACTCCTAGATATAATAATACGGTATATTTTCATTTTTTTTTCAATGCGTTCATAATGAAATTGATTCGGAATTACGCGTTTTTTTCCCTCAAAGACTGTGGATAAAATGTATTCAACTTAACATTATATTCAATAAATCCATATTAAAGAGAAACTTCTTGCCTATTAAATGATGTACATTTTGTTCACGGCTGTTTGCAGCAATAACGTACACAAATTATTATCACTTCAAAAGTACCAGATGTCTGTAAAAATTAGGTTTTTGCTTAAATATTTTATTTTGATCGATGTAATTGAATAATGCTCTTACTTTTATTATTTAAGATTATAGATTGTAATAAAATAAAGATAAGGTATAATGGATACTTGTACAATATAAATTAATATTAATATTGTACTGTAGCTAAATAAGTAGGTACGTTTCGCGTACGATTGTCGTAATAGTCACTTTACCAGATCGCAAATGTGTGTGTAGGAAATACCCATTATACCTTATCTTTATTACAATTTATAACAGTGGTTTTCAATCTTTTTAACAATACGGCACATTTCATCTCCAACAAAATTTTCGCGGTACACCAATCCATATATTATGGAACCATATTTTATATATATATATATATATATATATATATATATATATACTATTTACAGTCTACTCTATTAGAGTGTTATTTATTGTGAAATATATTAATACCAGTGGCGTATATAGGGGGGGGGATGCCTACTGGGCTGCATCCCCCCGAAATGTTTACAAAAAACTTAAAAATTATTTTAAACGTAGGTATGTTATGTTTTAATGGTTCTTTATGCTTATTTAGAATTTTCGTCCAACGTCAAATCGTTTTGGGATATTCTGTAAATAAAATGTAGATAAGTAAGTACCTACCGTGTCTTGTTAGTAATTTTTAGATAGCAGTGGAAATTTAATTCTGTCCATAATAGTAATAAGTAATAAGTAATAGTAATAATTCCCTCCCGAAAATATTTTCTATATACGCCACTGATTAATACAATCGATCGATCGAGACAGCTGCGACAGGCATACTTACAATAAATAGTAAAAATAACAATAAAAATATTTATAAATTTCCAGTGACATATCTGAACTCGACAGGATGTAGACATATTATTTAAAAAAAAAATTCAATTTTTCTCATTTTGATATCAGGCAATAATGACCGCTTAATTTTAATTTGTGGACCACTGTGTGGTGACTGAAAATAATAATAATTTATTATCTATGGACTAATTATTATATACCTATCATAATAAATAATAGTCAATAAAATGGATAAATTATAATTATATTCCTATAGTTTTTCAGTTTTAACATTAAATCATTAAAGCAGCCCTCTTTCAGCAAGTTCCCTCGGCGTAGGCCCAAGTCACCCACCCATAACACCGGCACTGCTCTAACACGCCAAATTTTAAAATTTTATAAATTGGCCATCTAATTACTTCGAGTCGCCAATTCCTAATACATATAGTAGTATAGGTAATAATGTTATTAAAATGTTCTCAGCTAAATCCTATAATTATATTTTAATGATGTTCACTGCGTAACCAGGTTGCATATTACCAAAGTGTACATGGTCTCGGTACAAAATAAATCATTTTCATTAGACCGTTCAAAATTTTATATTTTATCGCGCTTTTCGTCACCCATATTTTGACAACAAAATTATTATCAATAATAAAATTTTACATAGACAAATAAATAAAATTCAACATATTTTTAACATACATTGACATACGTATTTTGAATTATTATTACAAACGTTTACAACTAACTACATCTTACTCCATAGACGATCAACGTAGTCTTTTACACTCGCCTTTGACCATCTATACAAAAACAATAAGAATGCATCTGAGCCCGTTACTGAAAACTGAGCTCCTTATATCTAATGTTGTGTGTGTGTGTATGTGTGTAATATTTTATCGTTATATTTTATTCTATTCATTATTCACAACATATTCTTATCCTAATGGCGAACAATTTTTATAATTATTTTGTTATACATTAAATTTCAAAAAAAATATGATTGCTTAGGCGCATATCATTATACGTCATTATATTAATAATTATGTATCATGAATCATACAAGCATAACTTTTGGACACTATTATGCATGGTGCAATAGTATGATTATTATTAATTAGTATGAACAATGAATAGGTACCTATTATGCACAACTTATTTCCACATTGTAGTAAAATGTATTTAAATCCAAAAAATAATAATAAAAAAAAATACTTATATTGGTACTTATATCCTCTAAGCTGTACAAATATAAATGGATACATATTTATTGTGTAAAATGACCAAGCACAACTATAATGTAATATTTCTGAATATTATTTATTTGTTTATGTATAATTTTGTTATCAAAATATCGGTAACGAAAAGCGCGGTAAAATATAAAATTTTGAACGGCCCAACGAAAATGATTTTTTTTTTACCTAGTGCCGAGACTATGTAAACTTTGGTTATACCTATGTAGGGCAGATGACTTGAAGCATTTGTATATTTGTTTTGCACAGTCACAGAAATAGCAGAGTACGAAACAAATACGTTTCATGCTTTCACAAAACTAGTTTTGAAATTTAATTTTGCATATAAATGTATATTTTGAGTCCTTTTTGTTTTTAGGCCATATTTTACACTTTTATACACTATTTTATACTTTTTAGGACATATTTAACTTAAATTGATTTTTTCCAAAGTGACATTTTTATTTCAAACAATACAATCAAAATGTTTGGATAACAATTTATTTATTTTTAATTTTTGTCATTTAATATGTTTTTTGACTGTCCGCGGGTACACATTTTTCCCAGAAGCAATAACGATCTAACGTTGTTTCTTTAGAGCAAATTAAAAAATTAAGAAAATTAAGTAAAATGTATTTTGTTTATTTGGCTATGGTATATAATATATTTCAATTATGTAATTTTTTTACCTTGATTTTAATGCTATTTATTTTATTAATACTTTTTAATAAAAAGGCTAAAATAAAATTTTAAGTGCATATTTTAAGTACATAAGTGCTTGCATATTTAGAGCTTTTTTAGAGCTACAAGTCCTCTGCCCTAGTTATATGCAACCGGGTTTGCACAGATTTATAGTTAAGTTTAGATTTATAAAATTTTATTTTGTACTTCATATTGTTCAGTATCAAAGTTTAATTTAATATTATACAATAGATACGACTATATTGTAATGCATTATATAGATTAAAGAGACACACCACTCTGCAAGTACAAACTGAACGAGTAACTTGAACGTATGCTGATTTTTAGGAGACACTGAATCGAACACGAATCAGTACAATGCTTGATACCGTAATTAATTAAAACGTGTATATATATATATATATATATAAACATGCATTACATGTGATTGTAGAGCTTGTACGAATCTGGTGGCTTCGGTTTCGCATGCAAACGCCACGAAGCAATTTTCACCGCTCTGTTGATCGCATTTGGTGAGCGGCACGAGTGACTTTTTGGATTCAACTGTAATACCGTATCTAAAGACAATCGCAAATCGATAGTTAATAGCCTTCTAATATTATGTAGTTGGCGGCCGGGGATTATTTTATTTCTAAGCAATTAACGTGCTGATTTATAAAGGCGAAACGTATTAGACATATTCAGTGGCATATTTACATGTTCGATGTATACCGCCTTTAATTACTTAAAATATATTAGATCATATATATTATATACATATGTTATAAGTTAGAAATTATAACTATACCTTGTGGTTTGTACTCGATTTTATAGTCCTCAACAACAATCATCAGTTTCCTATATTATTTCATTTTTTTTTTTTTTATACCGTTATTCTAAGATATGAGACGGTAAATTGGAAAGTCAACAAAATATTCGTAGAACCTTCGAGTTCTATAAACACTATATATTAAAGTTACGTACTACAAAATTAAAAATATATATTTTGTTACTGGATGGATACAATAATAAAAATATGAGTACTATAAGCACCTATAGTATCGCATAGGTAATTTTCAAAAATGTCGTATGTCTGCATGTAAATACGCCACTGGATCTATTAACTAATTGTAAAGTTCGGGGGTTCTTAACCGATGGTCCATGGACCCCTATGGGGTTTGTAGAGGATAATTCGGGGGTCCACAAAATGGATGTGAGATTTTTAAAATTACCTAAGAATAAATTTGTTTCAAATTATTTAATGAATCAAAATCGTTTGTTAAGAAAAAAATGTCCCCGATTTAAAAGAGATAATACAATCAAAACAACAGCAAATATCACGTTAAAACTTAAATAATCACCAAAAAATTATTCGTATGTATGATGTATCATAAATATGACTAAGCAAAATTACGTATTTACTAAGTCTTATATTATTATCATTACAGTAGAACGCCTCTAGCCCGCCCTCGGCTAGTCCGCCACTCAGGATGATCCGACCATAGTATTATTGATATGAATATGAATTTTCCAATTTATAGTATGTGGCTAGATATATTTATAAAATGAGTTGCCCGTTTACTATTTATCTATTTTTATTTATTTTATTATTTAATTATTTATTTAATTTAATATATGTATGTAACTAAAAATAATATTTAAAATAATTTAATAAATAAATTTGGTAACATTTTGTCTTCAAAGTTTCTTTATATTCTGATAATCCGACCTTTATCGCATTCCGACTAGAGGTCTCTATTACACGTGTAGTTAAATTCATGGATACACGTGAAATTAAAATTCACGTACGCAATCACGTGAAATAAATTCACGTGCATTTATGAATTTAAATACACGTGAATCCGTGAATTTAACTTCACATGAGTCCGTGAATTTTGTTATTAAACACGCGTTTATTATTACATTTAAAATTTTATTTTCAATACATTAAATATCTTCCAATGACTTCTTACTTTTTACATGACAATTGGCAGTGATCGGTTAACAATTATTTATTATGAACAGAACATCCACGGAAAACTAGTATTTTAGAATACAGTTTTTTGACAAATGTTTATTATTTGAAACTTAATAATATTTTACATACATACAAAAATAATTGAACAATTATGTATAGCATTAAAATGTATAACAATAAGAACATGTTTTACATTTTATTTATTTATTAATTTTGAACAATAAGCTCAATTTTTTCACGTGCATAATTTACTCGTATAATATAATATATATGTTATAGTTTAATAAATCCTAACAGATAAACAGATATCCATGTGTATGTATTTGTGTTATAAATTATAATTAGAATATTATACCTATAAATACTACATGTTATATGAAATTAAATAACAATAATTTGTAAAAAATAAACATAATAATTTTCATTCTAATAGTTTTCTATTTTGATAAAGAAAAATCAACATATTAACATTTTCCGACAGCAAACAGCTTCTTTTTGACGTAACTATATTACCTTTTTTTACGGAAATTATCAACATATCTTTTTAAATATATTATTAAAATTTAATGAATTCAGTAACAGTACATGATGTCACAATGTGGAAACCAAATAAGAAACGACCGATAGAGAGGCCAAGGCAGCGATGGACAGACCGAGTTAAAGAAGACCTCAAGCTCCTGGGGATTATAGAGGGAGAACAATTGGCGAAGAACAGAGAATTGTGGAGAGGTGTAGTAGAAGCGGCGATGGACCTTCAAGGCCCGGAATAAGCCAAAAAAAAAAAAAAAATGAATTCAGTAAATATTGTTTCAAGCACACGTTAAATAAATATCCGTGATTTACTAATTAATTACACGTGAATTAAATACACGGATTTTTAAATTTAAGTACACGTGAACAAAAAACACGTGATCACGTAAATCTTAATTCACGTTCAAATTCGAGAGCTCTAGTTCCGACCACACCCCCAGTCCTGAAAGTGACGGATTAGAGGGATTCTACTGTAAAAAATAATTTTAATTAAAAATTTAGTTTTTTCGAGAGGGTCCATGGTTATAGTTTATAATAGAAAGGGGCCCATAACCAAAAAAAGGTTAAGAACCTATGGTTTAGTTGCATAATATTTACTTGAGTAATTCACTGGGCAGTTCTATAGCAATAGGATCTTTGTTCACCGTCCAATTATCGCCTTCGTTCCACGTATAATCGTACACCGTCCTCCAGTGGTTGTTCCATACGTTGAGATTGGCTTTATTAAACTGATCTATTCAGGAGGAAAAATATACGACATGAATATTTTCCGACACTTTACGTTATTTTATATTAAGGATTTGTAATTAACGACAATGAAACGGTCACCAAGTAAAAACGGGCTGTATTTATATATTTTCCGCCCTAGGTCAATCATATTTGTACGCCCCATCCTCCATAACAATATATGCATTATGTTGCATATTTTTTTTGTATATAAATTTTTAGTTATAATTCTTTATTTAGACTTAATTTGTTAATTACGCAGATAATGTTATTAACAATTTTTAATTATTATTAAAATGTAGATATTTTTACTTATAATTTAATAAATATAATATTTAGTAATATATTATTATGTGTTCATCGAGTTGCAACGTTGCTGGCCGCCCCCCTAAATGGATTAAAATTTGATCATCCGGGGCAAATATCCCTATTAACCTTCCCTTAAATACGGCCCTGACGGTCGTGCATGACAGCATTAAGTTTTTTATTTAATATGGTAAATATAGATACTATAGATAGAAAACTTTCGTTGATTCATTATCTATCACTCTAGAACAATCCCATAGTCGAAGGATATCATCACACCATTTCAGAATTGTACAAGGAGGTTCAAACATTTAAAAAGGTCAAATTTCCCTCCTTCGCAAACAAACTGTCGATCAATTTTTCCATATTTTTTTATTAGAAATTGTATTAAATTAATTGGTCTCGTATTATACACTAATTATAATAATAATTGTTATTGTTTTATTTAATATAAAATCTAGTGATGTAGTAAATGCAATTTTGATCTTTCGGAAATTGAATAATATTTGTAACTATTGAAATATAATGTAGTTCCGAACAATTTAAATAAAGAAAACATTGAATATTTAAGTGTCTAAACGATAAAATTAAGTCTGTGATATTGTTATAGATAACATATTCTTGTGAGGTGCGTACACACACTTTGCTTCCCCTAAATAGCGTCCCGGCCCAATGGGTCACAAGGATTATGAAGTACCATCACGACTGTAAGTTTTTGCGTGTATATGCTTCACATATCACTTACCGGCCAACTGGTTGTAGTATAATTGATAGCAACTGAACTGCAATTCCCGACTGGACTCGATCACCGGCTGTGTGGAGCAAAACAACGCGATCTTTAAGGACGTACAATCCCGAACCCTGAACTGACCGCAAGCCACAATCACTGTTGAATCCGTCGTGTCCCTTACAAATACGCTGTATAACAAACATAGGATAAATGCAATGTGTTTTTTTTCTATAACACTATAGCGTTTAATACAGTAACGTATTGTAATTCTTTAGTTTTCCTCAGCGGTGACCTCAAAAAACGCCGGGTAAGTAATAATAACGTGTAATTTAAATTTGAGTTACTATTCAGTGTTCAGTGGTGTTAACATCAAATCCAATTACCTTATCATGATTTGAAAATATGCAAAATAGATAATCTGTATGATCCGATTTGCATCGACCGATCCGGATTATACAACGACAAACCTGTATTATTAGGATCAATCGGAATTAAAATGTACAGTATTCCAATCCAGTATACTTTAAGAAAATTTAGTAATTTATTATTCTCCGTGAAATATTCAAATGTTATAAAATGCCTACTGTAGTGAGATCTTAAAAATACATTTTTTGTAGATTTTTTTTTTATTGACTTAATGAAATGAATTAAAACGTCTGACCTGTTAAATAGTTCTTGATAAGGTCTAAATTACATATAGGTAAGCGTACGCAAGGGAGAAAAATGCAAAAAGATGGATTAAACGGGAAAATCGATATTTTTAAGTACGAGTCGTTGATTAGTCATTCGATCAACCCTTAGCTTTCCCACCAATCGCAGATGCATCGTCGTTGTACACTGAACGTATTAACGCAGAATTAGTCGAGCCAACTCGGCCTAAATTTCCGATCGTCTGGGGCCCATGGCCAAAAATGAAAATAGGAAATATGATAATAATAAAATATAAAGTGTTTAATTATGCAATTTTGGTGGCAAAAATAGTTTTAATAAAATTGTAGTCTTATTTTAATTTTTAAACTGAAATCATTTTCTCAAGTTCTATGGTATTTTCTAATACGATTTTATTAAATAGTTATTCAAAATTTTTTTTAAGGGCCCCGTGTCGGCTATTATGAAATGCGAAAAATTGTTTTTCAAGCGGTTATCTGGCTTTTTAAATTCCTGAAATATTGCACCAGGATTTAAAAAGTTGTAACATTTTCTATACCGCCTTGACCATACGATTCCAACGGTACCACTTAGATCTCTATAAAAGCAGTAATGTGTTATGGCCTGCGGAAGTTTTTTAATTTTAAATCATTTTTTAGACTTTTTTTACGGAATAGGAAGATTATAACTGATTATCAATTTTAAATTTTCGTACACAAATTATTTGAATTATTAAACAGCAATATTTAACAGCATTGGCTTTTAAATTTCTATTCCAAATAATGAGGAAAAATTTAGAACAAAAAGCTTAACATTTACTTTTTCTAAAGACTTGTTTCAATATATTGATAAGACGAAGTAGGGCAGTAGAATGTTGTCAATTGAAAAAATAAATGCTCATGAAAATATTGTAGTGACAGGGAGTATCCTGTATTCATATTCCCGCAAAACATTTCGAAAAACGATTTTAAAACTTTCGAAAGCCCTCCCGTGAATGTTGCTCCTGTAAATTTCAAGTAGTATCGTTGAAGCCGCATGGTCAAACGGTTTCAAAATGTAATTTAATTTTTTTTCTAATTTGAACAATGTTCGAAACATCAATTCGATTAATTGACAGCTATTTGACCGTTTAAAAAATAATTTTTCACATTCAACAACTATCATATGAGTAAACAGTCTGATGAATGAGGTTAGTTGAAAATCACTGAATCCGAGGCCCAATCGTGAACCGAACCGACGACACTGCGCTTACGTTACCCGCAGTATTTTTCATCACCAGCGCTCACCTCTGTTTGGTCGGTCCCAGAAGGATGGTACACCTCTGACAGTCGTCCACGGTCACCGAACCGGCGTGGTCCAGCAGGAAGATCTCGGCGTCTTGGCAGTTGCGCACGATAAACTGTTGACCACCGATAGAGCCGGGTGGCTTGTACGCCGTGCGACCGTTCACGTTTTCCATCACGTAGTCCGCGGGGTCCAAGTGTTTGCGTTCCACCCTGCAGCACATATATAATCGCGATGTGTGAGAACAATAACGGCACGATGCCCGGTTTCGTCGGCTGGGAGGGGTGCGCGTGAGAGCGGAGGGTGAGAAGTTCGCACGCGCGTTCGTGATTATCTGAGAACGATTGAACAATCGAGCAGTGTTCTAAGAAATAAAAACAACAATATGGACTCGATAAGTGATCCGAGGCCGAGAAGATATCTGCTGTACGAATTGCGTTACACGAACAGTACGCGCGAGCGCCGTGTTTTGAGACCATGTTGGTGCGGATACCTACCACGAGTACACCATTTTTTTCGGCTCTTTCGCGGCCCCGAATTTGCAACAGTAAGATCCCATCTAATTTTTTTTCCCCTTCGTTTTTTACAGTACTCGGATCATCCGTTTCCCATCGCGTGAAATGTAGTCGGTCGACGAGCGGACACTGGATAATACATTTTCTCCTCGGCCCCCAGTAAGCACGGCACCGTCACACCAGTGTTTGCAAACATAGGTTTCCACGGCGACTCCAACGCGCATCGCTTCCTCCTCCAACGCCCCTCCCCCCATTTGTACTCACGCCGCGACAATGGCGTGGGCGGCATCGAAGTCGACGCGCACACGGCCGTGAGCAGAAGGGTTAACGCACAACAACGGAGACGGCACCATCACGTTCAACTGGTTCTGCCGTTTCGGAGGTGTAAAAGAGAAAAAGTATAACAAAACATTTTTCGGTGACAACAACGACGACGTCACGTGTGAATGATTTTCAGACAACAGTGTGTATCACAGGACGCGGTGTGTATTCAGGACATCCCGTCTTCTAATGAATATTCAAATAAAAACGCTTTAAAATCGCATACCAGCGATGACTAATGATTTATAATAACAACTCATGCGAGTCCAAATGGTTCATCGATTTAGTAATTGTTTTTATAGTCCAATTCAGTTGATTTGAGCAGCACTACAGTCATACGTTATAATCAGTGCTTGACTTGGCAAAATTAAAAAACGGGAACTCTGTTTACTTTAAAGAAAATAGCGTCCTCAAAACTTGTTAAGCTTTATAATTATAACGTAATAACAGTAGGGGTACGCTAACATTTCTGAAAATCAGTTGGGGTACTCCGTCCCCCCTCAAGTCAAGCACTGGTTATTATACAGAGTGATCGAGAAGTCGCGCACATGAAAATTTTGAAAAAATTTTTGTGTTTGTAAATAGTATTTTGATCGAATTACTTACACTTTTATTCATAAATACAAACACATAAAATATTCAAAATTAATTTATACATATGCAATATCCGTGTTTTACAATACTCAAAATGGCTACGTTGTTCATTAATGCATGCACGAACCCGTTTTACCACGTTTGTAGCCATAAGCGCAACTAGGGGGGGTGCAATAGGGGTTTTAGCAACCCTGAGTTCAAATGTAGCACTCCTGTTTTTTTTTCCAGATCTATATGATCTATAGTAATTACAGTTAAATACCATTTAATTTTATTTTCAGCTATTTCAGCACCCCCAATATTTGGGCTCTAGTTGCGCTCATGTTTGTAGCCACTTTGTGGAGTACGTTAGGTTAGGTTAATATCCGTTTTTAGGTTACTCTTCAGTTCATCCAATATTTGTAGTCTATTTTTATAAACCCTTCCATTACGATTACTCCATAAAAATAAATCTAGGTCTAAGATTAACTTAATCAACGCTAGTATACTCCACAAAGTGGCTACAAACGTGGTAAAACGTGTTCATGCATTCATTAATGAACAACGTAGCCATTTTGAATATATATCGTAAAACATGCATAATGCATATGTATAAATTAATTTTGAATACTTTTTGTATTTGTATCTATAAATAAAAGTATAAGTAATTCAATAAAAATACTATTTACAATCTCATTCATGTTGATGTGCGCGACTTCTCGATTACTTCATATTATAGTACAATATTTGTAATTCGTACAATAAAAATGGATTGTTTGAAATAGTTAATACACAGTTAATAACCTAAATAATATACTTAGGGACAACTGATAATTATCTTTTTGCCTACATCACAAGTTAAAAAAAATACATGGATACAAGTTGCATAAATTTTGACAGTAGAATACTATGGATAAATGTTTAGAATAAAACATTTATTGAATGTTTATAATTAATATATAAACAACATTTATAATCATAACAAAAATTATATTTTAATAAAATATTGCTTATTTACTTAATCAAATAATTAAAAATGTATGATAAAAAAAAATATAAAATGTGTTTTATTTTACACAAATTTTAAAATAACAAATTCAATCATTTTCAATTTTCAAATATTAAGTGATAAAATTATACTATACAAATTGGTATTTTTATACTTAGTTAAATAAGTAATACATATATAAAATATATATAAATAAAAGTATATTAAATATATAACATATCATTTAAATCAATAAATAAATTTACTAGCATCTTTATTTATTAAATTATTTTACCCGGCTCCATAAAAATATAAAATTAGTTTTATCAATGCTCATCTGGTCCACTATAATTTGGAGATGTTGGCGAATAACTGGGGGAAGATGGAGAATAATTTGGACTTCCAATTACAGGTGAATATGTTGGCGAAGTTGGGGAATATCTGAAAACCAATTTATGAAAGTGAAACATTTCTTAAAAAATTAGTCTTATTTGCTTACCTTGGACTAGCAAGTGAGAAATTGGTAGGTGAGTAAACTGGCGAACTAGGGCTGTACGACTGATTATATTGTGTACCTCCAGCATTTGGTGTATGTTGTAAAGAAGAAGGAGAATATGAAGCATTCGAAGGTGAATACATTGGACTTGTAGGAGAGTATGTAGGACTAACAGCAACTGAAGGAGATGTAGGAGAATATTTATAATTGGTAACACCTGATGCAGCACTTGGTGTATATGATGGTGAAGATGCTGTATACTGTGGAGAAGTTGGACTGTACGATGGAGAAGTTGGACTATAAGATGGAGATGTAGGACTGTACCTGTTAACATAAATAATGATTTCTAAAATGTCTGCAAAATGAAAAACACATTCAATTAAAAAACAAACCTCAATAGGTTATTAAAAAAACCTATTATCTTTATTCATTCCAATAAAATAACTTCTAATCAAATTTCTAAATTAATAACTAATGAGCTATTACTATAGCTGGTTTATATACATTATAAATCATGAAATATCTATACTTAAAGTAAATATATTATAGTAGAAAATTTCTTATTTAATGCATCTATTTTAAATCATATAGCAAGTGTTAAAAACAAATACATACATTAACATTTATTTTTTATTTTTTAATACATGTTAAAATATTATCAGGAGAAAAACAAATTAGTCAATATTTAATATGTAATTTACCAAATAGGTTAGTGTACGTTGAACAGTAAATGTTATTTATAAATTAGTAAATCATGTATTTTTTTTAAAGGAAAACACATATTAAAACACTTTATAAGACTTAATAAATATTAAGCTATGTTTAAAATATGTTTTAGAACAAATTATGTCACTTATCTGAAATATGCTAATTGCTACTAAGTATACAAAAATTGCCATTTGCATATAAATCTTCACTCTAATTATGAATAAAAATAGGTGAATTATGTATTTGATTTAAAAATGAATTTGGTATACAAGTGAAGGTACTTACGATGGCGAAGTCGGACTATACGATGGGGATGTTGGACTATATGATGGAGATGTTGGGCTGTATGAAGGGCTAGTAGGACTGTACCTGTAAAAAATAAAAAGATTATTCAATAAATTATAAAATTAATAGATATAATATTTATTTAATGATTATTTCTAGTTATAAATATTTTGTTGCATAGATGTACTTAATTTAATAAAAATGTGTTTAAAATTCAAATAAAACTTACAATGGAGATGTTGGACTGTACGATGGAGATGTTGGACTATATGATGGAGATGTTGGACTATAAGAAGGTGATGTTGGGCTGTAAGACGGAGATGTTGGGCTATACCTAAAAAGCAAATTTAAGATTAATCAACTTTTTCAATATATAACTTATTGAAATTTAGAAATACATACGATGGACTAGTTGGCGAATAAGAAGTATGGGAGTATGAAGGACTTGTGGGCGAGTAAGATGGGCTAGTTGGTGAATAATTATAATTAGGTGACATAGAGGAGAATTTTGGAGTATTTTGTTGAGTGGCAGAATATTGTGGACTTGTTGGTGAATAATTAGTTGGAGTCATAGAAGGTGATAAAGATCCAAATTGAGGACTAGATGGATAATTATAATTTGGTGACATAGAGCTAGGACTGGGCACATAAGGACTAGTAGCCATTCCTGGTGATCCAGGACTACCAGGAGTGCCACCACTTGACATCCAAAATGGAGATGTTCCACTAGCTTCACTCGCTCCAGCTGGTGAAAAACCAGGTCCTCCAGGAGTCATACCAGCTTCCAAACCTATAATAAAATATTTGAAAGTGAGTGATAATTAAACAATATAAAAGTAATTTTTTAGTTATACTTGAAGACCAGCTATTTTGATAAATTGGGGTAGATGTTTGATCCCATGGGGTCATAGCAGGTGACATAGAAGGTGTGCCAGCAGCCATGAACATACCACCAGCGCCCATACCCATGTATCCATTATCCATTGGTAATTCAATACCATCCTTGGCCTTTTCAGCATCCAAAAGTAAATCAAAACAACCTATAAATAATAGCATATTAAAGCACCTTGGTAATGATTTTTTTCAATTATTATGATTAAATAATAAATATTAATAAAAAATATTTAACCTGTTCCCATTCTAGGCAATTGTCCCATAATAATATTTTCAGATACTCCTCTCATTGGGTCAACTTCAGCATGTGAAGCAGCGTCTAATAAGACATCAACAGTTTCCTCAAATGAACATCTAAAAAAATATAGAAAAGTATTATTTATAAAAATAGTGAACATAACTAAGTTATCATGAAAACTAAGCTGTAATGTTTAAATCAGAAATGAAGAATGTGTAGGGGAAATGAGATGAAATTCAGAATGTACAGGTTTATGATATAAATTATGACAGAATATAAATTATATAATATTAAACAAAATTTAAGAAGATATTATGGAGGGTTAGGATTGTTATGAAAATCATGAATAAACAAAATAAGAAAGATCAATACCACATAATATTTAAAAGAAAGACAAACATTAAAAAACCTTAAAAGTAGTACATTAAGTATAGGAAAACAATTAATCAAATAGGCACTGACATTATTTAGTAATTATCTAATTGAATTTAAAGGTTACCTCATTAATGCTCCAGTATCTTGTCTATTTATACCATGTCTAGTAATAGCCATCAAATGACCTTTAGCTGTCATAACATCACACAACAATGCCAAATGACGATAATTAACGTACAGACCATAAAATTGTAACACAGTATTCATTTCTTTTTCAACTGACTTACGTACAGCTTCAATACCTAAGACCTGTAATTCAAAGTTAAATGTTATCAAATTTAATTTTTTTTTTTAATTAAACCCATTAATTTTACCGAAAATATTTCACAAATATCATTAGAGAACGTTCTCACAGGGTCAACATCTCTTTCACTTAATACTTTCATCAAACTTGTACCATCTGTTTCTAACAACCAATCAGCAATTGCTTTAAATTCTCCGGTATCAGTAATAATTATTCTTTTCTTAGAATCAGTTTGAGGTAAATGCATATACACTTTACCAATTGCCTCTATACCCTAATTATCATAAACAAACATATAAATTATAACAAATAAAAATAAAGTGACATTATTATTAAGTTACAATTTTCTTACCTGTAATGTCATATCAGATAGCATATTTGCTTCAATACATCTAAGGAACATATCATCTTCCATTTTATCAACAGTATCTTCATCATCACCACCATTCATTTTCCCATCTTCACCATTCATAATACGTATACGTAAAATTAACTTATCAGCATTATCATCATTGAATATACAATTAAGATCATCACCAAAGCCAGCATTGATTTTTTCAGATATTGCTTCCATAGTCAATTTTTTATCTAAATATAATAATTTTTTTCATTCAGTTTTGTCTAACAATAAATAATTTTTTCATTAAATACCAGTCATTCTTTTTCTATCTAATTCAATACGCAATAACCAAGCTGAAATTCTTGTTGGATCAAAATCAGGCATTTCATAGTAAACATTTACAAACTCCTGATCTTCTCTAATAACTGTGTTTTGAGGATCCGGATCATAATAAATAGCAGTATTGGCAGTCACTTTACGTAATGTTGTATGTTCAAGACGACAAAGTACATTTTTAGCTTTTTCAGCATCTCTAGCAGCAGCTCCAGTTAAAAACACAGTAAGTGATGGTGCTTTAGGATTTTTACTTATATTAATAATTTCCTAAAAGTAATATTATACCATTAATTTACTGATTATCATAAAGAAGTAAAATAAATTACTTTCAATCTAGGTACTCCAAGAGTTACATTCTTTGAAGAAACACCAGCAAAATGGAAAGTATTCAATGTCATCTGAGTAGCAGGTTCTCCCAAACTTTGAGCAGCTATTGCTCCAACCATTTCACCAGGTTGTGCCTGTTAAAATAACAATTACAACAATAATAATTATCAGAAATACATTTTAAATTTCTTTACCTGAGCTTGTTTAAATCTGTTTTCAATTTCACCAACTAACCATTCAAATGCTTCAGAAGATAAACGGAAATTTTCAGATACTGCCTTCGTACATAACGTGGAACGTACCAAACATTGAAATAATAATGTAGCATTTTTGTTAGCTTTTTTGCTTAACTCATCTTGACCAGCTACAATTACACATTTATCCAACAAATCTTTAACACCTATTATTATAAACAAAAATATCTAAAATATATTTCAAAAAATCATAAATATAAAATAAATCTAATTACATATCTCAACAAAATTACATGAACTTTAAGAAAATAAGAAATGTTATTTAACTCCAATTTTTACAGTAATTAAAAATATTCATCAAATTTTTCCCTTGATATTTCCAACAACATGTTTTTGGTACCTATTATTAAGCTTTGAGATGATGTATTAATTAGTAATAAAATAATAAAAATTATATGAAAATTAAAAATTAATAAATGCTTAGTACTTGTAAATTAATACATAAGTAAATAAACAAATATTTTATGTATAGAAACTCATGAGTTGCAATTTCGTTTTTTCATATTCAATCACAATTTGATTAAATTTGTATAAAATTAATAAAGAATTTTTAATTTGAAACCGATCATACTTTACAAATATAATAATATTCCAGACTAAACTTTTATTTATTTATTTATTTCTACAAATAAACTATTTGTTTATTTATTTATATATCATAAATTGGTACTTGAAAGAGATTATATTTTATTAAGAAAAATATGATTAGGAAGTAGAAGAAAACCATGTAATCTATATAATTTTTCAATAGTTAGCAGTGCTATAACTAATATTTATGAAGTAAATACAACATCAGTTCTAATAACAGTTTTTTAAAATAATCATATTATTATGGTTTAAGTAAAAATGGTTGTATAGAAAAAACGATTTTTATTTTCCAAAAGTTATAAGAAGTGGGAATTACCTTATTATATGTAAACAAGAAATGCATATATATAAATTTATATTTATGTATAAAAATATAGTCATACCATGTATTACTTTTATTGGATTCAAGTCTGTTGGTCCTCTTTTATTTATGTGAAATATTTTTTGTACATTCCAAATCATACGTTTTAGATTACAAGGCAATACCACCTTACTTTCACCTGAAGGAAATATTTCTCTAAGAGTATCGCGGTCATTTGTTAATTGTTCCCATTCTTTTTCTAATTCAACGACAGTATCATTACTACCCATCATTTCTTTTAATACATCTTCAGTAAATATTTTTCTGATTTGTCTTTCATTTGAAATATCAAATTTAAATTCATTTTCAAATTTTTTGTGCGACGGTTCTATAGTAGCAATATTCTGAAATTCGACTGCTTCACCACATAAACCATCTTCTCCATAACGTAATTGAATCAATTGACCAACAGAATTACGAACAGTTCCATCATAATGTACCATAACTGATTCCATAGCTTTAATTAAACGTCTTTGAATATAACCTAGAAAAATACATGGTTTTTATAAGTTAAATAAACAAATGATTTCACGCATTAAAAAACATACCAGTTTCAGCAGTTTTGACAGCAGTGTCAATAAGACCTTCACGACCTCCCATAGCATGGAAGTAAAACTCTGAAGGAGTTAATCCAGCTAGATAAGAGTTTTCTACAAAACCTCTTGATTCAGGACCATAGTCATCTTTTATAAAATGAGGCAATGTGCGTTTACGAAAACCAAACGGTATACGTTTGCCTTCTACATTTTGTTGACCTACACAAGCAATAACCTAGGTCCAAAGGTATTTCAAATTAAAATGATAAAATATAAAATAGAACCGTATAGTAATATACCTGAGAAATATTAATATTGGAACCTTTAGAACCAGATACAACCATAGCTTTAAGGTTATTGTATTCAGTCAAAGATTTTTTAGCAGATCCTCCAGTTTTATCACGAGCATCATTTAAAATTCTGTTTACTTGATTTTCAAAGGTTTGACGAAGTGTGTTACCCGGTGTTGGTTCAAGATCCATATTATGAGCTTTTTGTATAACTTCTATTACATCTTCTTTAGCTTTTTTAATTGCTTTTTGAATTTCCAAATAAGTTTGTGGATCAGCAATTGTGTCACCAATACCAATAGAATGACCTAACACAAGAATTATAAACATAATGCATAAAATAATGTGTTGAATTTGATATACATTACCTTCATATAAAAGCCAGTTATTAACTACTGTCTGAATATTACCATAAAACCGTCCGCATACTTCATGTCCCAATTCTAACATACATATATGAAGTAATGATCCAGCTGAAGTACCTAAGGTTTTCTTACACAATATTCCCATTACTAATTCACCATGTTCGACCATTACCTAGAAATAGATAAATTATTTTCACAACATACATACATATGTAAATACATAATAGAATTTAATTATTAACTTTTTTTTTTGTGTTTTTAATTATGAAAAATCAACAATCTGTTACATATAGTTACAATAAGATGGGTACATAAAAGGTTGCTGAGGACATGAATTGAAGACGTTATCCATTGATAGTGCTTCAGTGTGTATTATTATATTATTTTTTATTTTTGTTATAGAAAAAAATGAAAAAAGAAAATGTCGTTTTAGCGGTTGAGTAAGATGGCCGGGAAATGAGTGGGAGTAGTCTTGAGATAAGGGAATCGGTATGTTGAGGTAGGCGAGAGTGAAATCTGTTGTAATATTGTTAAATAATGTCTTTGATATAAGGAATTTTCAGGTCATTATGAAGTGTCGAATTTGATATGTATGGAGAGTATTATTAACTTAAATTACATTTTCCACAAACATTTTTAAAACCGTTAATAATTAATGAATCATGAAAATACGCACTAAATCAGTTATTTTTTGAGCAAACTATAGATTTAATTAAATATTTTTGGGTTATTAGTAGGGTTCAGGACTTATTGCACACAAATTGTAGGAAATATGCATTCACATCTGCGCTTAAAATAATCAAAATATGCAACTAAATTTTAAATGTAGATAATTTTTTTTTTGTTTATTTATTTTTTGACAACAATAACTCTGTAAGTTTAAAACTTTTATACTACTTGTATGATAGAATTAATTTTCTTCATTCTTTTCTCATACAATGAAACAAAGGTTTAAAATTATAAAAAATATAAAATAAATTTACTTCACATAAACCACAAATATGAGTAAATATGCTTTAAACAACTATTAAATTTAAAAAAATCTGTCTAATACGCAATTTGCCTTAAAAAACGGCAATTATAATTTTCTTATTTCAGTCTGTTGTCATAAAACAAATGTATATCTTACTCAAATAATTCTACAGCCATTATTAAAGAATATCCAAATAAAATAAGTTCCAAACACTATTTATTAATATACTTCAAAAATGTATTATGATAATAATAAAAGTATTATTTAATATTTTTAAATAAATAATATTTAATAAGTACTAATTCTGAAATCAATCAATACCATAGAATTAATAAAGAATTATTATATAAAGAAAAAATTATTCAATTCAAAATAAATATAATGTAATAATAGTAATAAAAATAAATAAATGTATAATATTTAGAAAAAAAGGTTGTTTTGGATGAAAATATTATCTAATTATTACAGTATATTTTATTTATAAGTTAACTAAAGAAAACTAAATTAAAAATGTTTATTAACATCAAGCTATTTAATACTTACCTAAAATTTTCCTGAGAGGTTCTGTGAAATCAAAAATTTTATTAGAAGTGTTTAATACTTTCTAAATTTTGAAAATTTAAAACATTTGATAGTTTGTTTGAAATTCTTGGAATATTTAGAAAATTTTGCAGTTAATATTACTTATATTTATATACAATTAAAAAAAAAAAAATAATGTAAGTCATTTTAAATAATTAACTTGTAATCAACTTTCTGATGTTTAAGCTGATCAATAGAAAATAAATATTACCTTTGTATCACCAGGTGATATCCATTTATAAGGACCATTATCTTCTTCATCAGGATGAGTAGAATGAGTACGTATCATGTTGACATTTCCAGGAATAATTAGAGAAAATAGTTGTTTTCCAGTCCACAAAACTTTTGGTTTTAAAATGCAAGGAGTAGGCATTTTTCCATCCCAAATAGGTAAATGCATTAATAAATTCATCATTTGTTCCTTAAATTATTTAAAAAGAAATTATAAGCAGATGAATAATAAACAAATACCTATACATTAATAAGTTTTTAATTATAATATTCAAAGTAATTAATTAGAAATAATTAATAATAATAAAAATCAAACTAAGTGTCAATAATGAACAAATATTTAACTATACATATTTTGACCCTTAGTACATTTAGTAAATTGTTTGTAATAAATAAATAAAAATTATAATTTATTAGAATTTAAATTAAGATTAAATTAGATTATAATGATACAAAAAAATATACATTTAAAATTAAAGTATGAAACAATATTGTTAAATACGTACATACATGTACATATATATCAGTATCTATGAATATATTAATTTATGGAAACATACAATAGCCTTGAATTATGTTTTATTCTAAAATCCGACTTGTTTATCTACGGAGAATTAATAAAAAATATACAATCATGAATTAATAACTTAACCAATATTTTAGAGATAATATTAATAAATTATTTTTATAAATGAGCATTGAATACATATTTAAATTGAAAGATAAATAAAATGCCTATTACACATTTTATAATGTGAAAAGATACTACTATACTAGATTTAAATAACAGTAATGTTGAGTCTTAGACTTGTAATTTATGTTCATTCTCGAGTAAAATTTGTATAAGTATGAAAACTAATACAACATTTATTACTTGTAAATAAATTATTTTACCAATGTTTTGGAGATAATAATATAAATAATATATTATTATTAACGAGCATTGGATTGAAAATGCATCTTATCAAGTAAGTTTAGATTTATAGTTTAATTGCTTTTTTTTTGGTTAATCAATATCATCTGTTTGCTTTTCATTTTCATGTGTGAATTATCTTTTTTGTAATAAAAATTTGATGCAAAATGCCCAAGAATAGAAAATCATTATACATTCATAGAATGGACAGACCTCCATAGAATATTCAAACTCATATATAATATACATAAACCCAAGAGTAGCATTTAAAAACATTGTGATATCACATAATAAGTTTTCACTTTTATTACACAGTAGAAATTGTTTATAAGTATGGACTAACTAAAGAACAAACAATATTATTCATTAAAAAACTTCAATAACAGTAAATATGTAAATTAATAAAGTTTAAATAAATATGGATGCATAAATATAATTGTATGAGTTTTAAACTTAATGTTTTAATCAAAATTACATAATTCTTAATAAACTACTATGAAAATACAATGGACATAATTAGTATTAATATTCAGAATACATATAATATATGTCTCTAATAAAATAAAAACTTTGTAAAATATTAAAATGTATAACTTTTAAATACACAACCATCAACATTTTAAAATAAGTAAGATATTTTTGTATACATAAAAACTATAATCATTCTTAAGTTTTTTAATGAATAAAATACAATCATTAATGAGTATTGGTTTAAAAAAATATTGAATATATCTTTCAAATATTATTTTACAATTTTATAGAATGTTAACGATAGTATGTTATTAAAAAATACTAAGAGAAGCTAAAATTCATCGTTGCTGTAAAAAGTAAAATCAATAATTTACCAAGCATAGAGTACTACTTTTCAACTTTATACAAATTTGAATTACGATACTAATAACTATAAAAAGATATAAAAAAATTTTGATTAAAACTTAATGCCCTGTACTAAGAAAAATATTGGTATGAATTAAAAATAAATAAAATAAATAAATTCTTTTATAGTGCTATAATTAATGAGCGATGGATAAGAAAGTACACTTACAAGATTTAAATAATATACTTTCAATGTTTGAAGTTTAAGATTAGGTAATAAAGTATAATATAAAACTAAAACCTTAATTTTAACCTCTTAATTTTTTATTCCAATGTTTTGGAGATAATAGCAAAAATATAATGCCATCATTAACGAGCATTGGATTTACAAATTATTGAAAACATTTGCCATTGTAATTATATTAGAAGTTACAATTCTATAAAAATAATATGTTTAATATTAGATGGTTTTTAGAAAAATAACTTTATGTATTGCATGTGTTTTTATCCTAATTTTAAACAAATATCAAAATGTCAACTGAAAGTAAAAAAAAAAAAAATATATGAACTTCGTTTGTATTGTTTTTATTATAAATAATGTAGATAAAAAAAATGACACATCTTAATCCTGAACTTTAAATACTAAAAAAATTATACTTAAAAATGTTTGACTTGAAATAAAAGCAATAGGACGTGAAAGAAAGTTATTTTAGTAATAAAATTAAGTAAAAGAGAATTATAATTATAACAGGTATTTAATACATATAGTTGAATACAATATTCATAGGTACATTAAAATTAAAGAATTGTAAAACTATTTAAATTGGTATTATTTATAAAAATAAACCAAGCTTATTAAACTTTTAATTAATTATTTTAACAGTGTTATAGAGATAATAGAATAATTATTAATAATACTATAAATATTTGAATAACAAATTGTCACAGTCAAAGCTTCAAAATGAGCAAATAATATTCATTATTTTATAAACCTTCTGAATTAATTATTCCAATGTTTTGGAGATAATAGCAAAAATAGAATGCTATCATTAACGAGTATTGTGTTCATAAATGATTGAAAACATTTTCCATAAAAATTCTATAGAGCAGTTATAATTTATAGTGGTACATGGTATTAGAAATATAATATGTGTTATTTATATTTAAAGAGTTATAGGGGAAAAAAATATCTGACATTAAAACATCTTGTCATATGTTTTAAAAATTAAAGTATTTTTTTTGTGTTATAAAAAAAAATTAGTTGTATTACTACAATACATTTTTTTAAATTATTTTGTTCTTTATCTCTTAGTTTTTTTAGTTCTGAAACATTAAAACTACAATACTGAACAGTTTAAGAATGTTAACTATTATAGATTTTCCTCATAGTCCTTATTTTTGATAGATACATTAATTTTAGGATGAGATGAAAAAAAAAAAGTTAAAGTAATAATAAGCGGGTATTCATTATTAAACTTATAATATTGATGAGTTGTTAGAATATTAAAGTTAATGAATTGTGAATAGAATACATTAGGTGAAATTAAAAAATATACCTTGAGTATTCAATTCTTTATAAATTATTTTTCCAGTGTTATGGAGATAATAGTAAAATTATTAATAGTACTATCATTAACGAGCACTGGTTAAATTTTTTTTTTTTAATTTGCCTTTGTTTGCACATTACAGCACACTGGTTAAATCGCACAACTAAATTCTAGCTATGAATAGTTTAAAATAATGTGATTAATAAGTAATGTTCTTTATTACATGTGCAATTTGTGAATTGGTTATTGATAATACCTAATACAGTATGTACTTTGATATTAAACAATGTTCATTAAATCAGATGACAAATTATTTTACCCACTTCCTAATTTAGAAAGTAGTTGAAAAAAAAAATGAATGGAAAACATTTAAGTATTTATTAGCTTATAATAACTATTTTAATTCATAAGTATTATGAATTTAATTTATAATAGTTTTTTATTTACTTCAATTATTTACCTTTTCAAGAAAAACATCTCTTTTTGTCATTTTCCTTATGGCCGTCAAAGTATCTTGGACAATACCCATAACTGGTTTATTAGCTTGTGGAGTGATAATTTGTCTAGGAGTAATATGAATATTTTCTACTTCAGCTCTTGTTTCCATGGATTGGGGAACATGAAGATTCATTTCATCACCATCAAAATCAGCATTATAAGGAGATGTACAACTAATAAACATAAACAAAATATAAGTATACAGTTAATTTTTGATCAATAAAATAATAGAAATAACCTTAAATTCATCCTAAATGTAGACCATGGTAAAACTCGAACTCTATGACCCATCATACTCATTTTGTGTAAAGTAGGCTGCCTGTTGAAAACTACCAAATCACCATCCTTAATGTGCCTTTCAACTTTATAACCACATTGTAAATGTAAATCTGATGGTTTAGGATGAAAACGTAAGTCTATTCTTTCCCCATTATCACGTATTATATATTTGGCTCCAGGATATTGTGAATTACCACGGCGAACCAATTCTAACATACTAATAAAGATAATAAATATTATTCATATAAATAAATATTTATATAATATACAGAATGATCCATTAAAATATATTCATTACCTCAATCAGTTTAAGTGTTTATGAAATAATTTTTTCTTCAAAACTAGTTAAATATTTAAAATAAAAATTTTTATTTAATATTTTTCATTAAATGCATTCTAGTTTTTTTTTTTTATTTTTTTTTTTAAATATAAGAAAAAAAATTAAGGGATTGAATATTCTTGATTGTGATTATTAATAGTTAACATTTATAAAAGTTTCACAACTATGGTCAATTTTTATTAATAATCTCACATTAGTAACATATTTCATTAAGATAATGAACAAAAGTAATATCAATAAGAAAATTAAAGTTAAGTGGCCCTAAAAAAAAAAAAATTAGTAGTTCACAAAGATTTTAAATTCCTGAAATTGATTAAGGATTAAAATGAAAAAAAATTCAATTCAAACCTTGTTTTATTTACTTGATGTATAAAAATAAAGAAATATATTTTGCTCCTTGCTATTAAAAATAATATTTAATTAATAAAATCAAAATAATTAAGAATAGTAAAAAAATTGAAATTTTTCATTATAGGTAATATTATTTATAATAATATTTATTACATAAATATCTCTATTTTTCAAAAAAATATAATTGTAAACAAGTGCTGTTACTATACTATAAATGGATCACCTTTAATACATATTTATAATTAATTAATATACTTACTGATCAATGTTAAAAGGAGTGACAATTTCTGGAAAGGTCATGTTTTGAGCAATAGTACGAGGTACACCAACTTCATCGATTCGTAAATTTGGGTCAGGTGTAATAACAGTACGGGCAGAAAAATCTACACGTTTTCCCATCAAATTTCCACGAATTCTACCTTCTTTACCTTTTAAACGTGCTTTAATTGCTTTCAATGGCTTACCCGATTTTTGCATAGCTCTAAAGTTTATAAATGAAAATTGTATTTATTTTTTATGTAACTTGATATTTTAGTCATAGTCTAAATTAAATATAATAAAGGTATATAGATAGAAGCTATAATACAATCATTTTACAAAATTATAGAGATAAAAAAGAAATGAACATTCATAAAATTAATGAATACTTAAATTATACAACAACACAAATTTGTTATTTACCTTGGTAGTCCAGGCATATCATTATCAACTAAAGTTGCAACATGGAATTGTAGCAATCTAATATTTTCAGCAATAATATGTGTAGCAGCACCAGATTGTTCATTACGAATTAATTCATTGTTAGCTTTTACAATGTCAGATAATTTATGGGTTAAGTCATCCTAGGATAAAAGTATACAAATTAACAAATTGTTTAGGTTTCCAGAAAATATAATATAGTAGGACATTGCTAGTCTGTCATATATAAGTAGAGTGCGGATTTCTATGCAATCACATATTTTTTTCCTCTCAATATTTTTTGATTTTTGTCAGTTATCTCCACGAATCATCATAATTTGAAGCTAATGGTGAATTTTTTTTTGCATATTTCTACATATTTAGAGGTTATTGCATATTTTTGCATATTTTGGCAAAATTCAAAATTTATTACATATTCAAGTGAAAATTTTAAAAAAAAATGTATAAAATAATATTTTGTCAGGTAGAAAAATTAAAAATAAATTTTATAGTCACTAAATAATAATTTATATATATATATATATATTTAGTTATAAAATAAACAATCAATTATGACATAAACTTAATCGCTCTTGCTGTGTCAGTCGATTATCGACATACCACTTGCTTCAAATATGCCCCAATAACTTCGGTTGACATCGAGCGTTTGTTTTCAGTCTTTAAAAGATAAACGACACAGCTTCACAGAAGATAAACTTGAAATGCATATGATTATTCATTTTAATAATAAATAAAATTTTAAAAATAAATTAAGTTCAGAAAATTCCCTAAATTTTTTCGTATTAAGTATTTAAGTAATTAATTTTTATAAGTTGAATTATAAATTTTAAATAAATAAAAAATTCTTGCATATTTTTTGCATATTTTCATAATTTTGACTGCATATTATATGGCATATTTCAATACTTTTAAGTGCATACAAATCCGCACTCTATATATAAGTATAATTTAATACAATTATAAATCACTTGAATAGTAGTTCAGTTATAGTTCATATTTAAATAAATTAAATTAGGGCATTCATTCTGCTATACATGGTATAATATTTTGAATTTAAATTACTAACTACTCTAAATAATTAGTTTTTGTTAGATGAAATTATCTATTAAATCTAAGCTTTCAAATTTAAGTAATAAGTACCTATTATTATAATTAATTTTGTAATTTACTAATATTAACCAAAACAACATAACTATGAAGTAATGCAAATTATAATTATTATGCTATACTTGTAAGTAGAAAAAAAAATTATGCCTTTTCAAGATAATTATAAAACATACTTGATTCCTCATAGATCCAAGCATTACAATTGCAGGACGCACAGGCAAAGGAGGAACAGGCAACACTGTTAGTATCATCCAATCAGGACGAGCAAATTTAGGATCCATACCCATAATTACTACTTCTTCATCAGAAATATGTTTTAAAATTTCATGAACTAGTTCAGCTGACAAGGGTATTTTTTTTTCTTGAGAATCTTCATTGACATGCTTCCATTCAGCAGTTAAGTCCAAACCTATACGCCGTATAGTAGGTTGATAGCGACCACAACCACCGTGACCAAGTTTTTTTGGCTATAACATAGTAGGTAGATAATGGTTAATAAGTAACACTAATTATTTCAAAATATTAAGTCCATTAATATTTATTACTAACAGGCATATTGGGATCGTTGGCATTTTCTTTATTAATATCTAGTTCATCTCCTCCTTCACAAATATTTTTACCCTTACATAAGTCATAAATAAAGGCTAAACGTTTTCTTTGTTGTCCTTTGGATTTCATAACAATCTCTTTAACTTTTGGGTGAGACTGATACAAAAAAAAAAAAGAGAAATTGTAATTAATTAAAATAAAACCTATTGATTTCACAATATGCTTACCGGGCTAACTAATAATTTAGAACAGTAGAAACAAACACAACGTAGAACTTTAATAGCCTTGGTTATGAACCCTATGTGAAACACTGGTTTAGCCAGTTCAATATGGCCAAAATGACCACAACATTCAGTCATATTACCTATAAATGAATCGAAATCAATACACCATATAATGTTTGACTAGTAGTTAACTAACCGGCGCAGGTTTGGCATCTTGAGAAACGATCAATAACACCTTGCCGAGGATCCATGAGTCCACCAAGTTTGGGTCGTCCGCCTTCCATCGTCTCCGAAAAACGAATGCCTCCTTCCGTGACCGACATTCGGCGCTGCAACCACAATAGTAATGAAATAAGGATGGACACTTACTCGTAGTACTTCATATTAATAAAGTGGACTAACGCATTCGTCAGGAGACAATATACCGAACTGCACTCGTTTGACGGTCCGCAGCGGAGCCTTGGAATCGCTGGCGGCCATTGTTTACGATTTTAAAACGTGTGGCGTGTACACTCGGTGTCAGGCTATACGAATCAAAAGAAGAATGCGTCTGTGAACAGCTTCGCGGTGGATATGTCCACGAGAACTTTACGCAGTGCTTCGAATACCGTGCACGCGACGAGTGCGACACATCGATATGCCGTGTAAGAACGGGTTGACGATTAGATCGGTTCGATTTACGTTAACATTTTGACGCGACCCCGGACAGCCGGCGAGACGCAAAGAACGAGGACACTCGAATGGCGCGAGGCACGTTGCACAATTGGCATCGGTCAGTGTGCAACAACCGTTCCGTTACACGTGATAACGCTGCGACGAGTGACGACGGGACGCGATGTTTCTGGCGTCAGTGTAACCAGATGTACGTTATTGATAAGTGATTTCGCACCAGCGCATGAGGTTGTCGCGGGTGTTGTCATAATAAACGTATGTTGTAAACACGATTTAAGATATATCTATGTATTTTAAATCGTTATAGGAAAGTAAAACACCACCATAGACCTTACAGTGCAAGGTCTATGAACACCACCCAATTCATGTTTCTGCCTTCATACCCAGAATCAGGGCAGACGTTAGATGAGTAGAGGGTGCAATACCCCCCACCTGTGAATTACCTCTTTATACGGTCGACGATCTTCAACAAATTAAGGCATTCTAGTGTTGTAGAATTTTGTTTTAGAAAGTAGTCGGAAATATGTATATTTATAACCCACTCCTCTCCCTTTCTGGAATATTTGCTAGCGCCGACCCTGCTCACAATGCATAAATATAAACAAGTATTTTTAAATCGTCCCTTCATTAGAAGTTTCGTATTTAAAAAAGTGATTTTTAATTATTATTAGAAATTATTAAAATGTTATATTATATTCATTTTTTATTTTTCCCTTTGAGATACTTTGTAAACATAGTATTTAATACAGTAGCGGATCCAGAGTAATTATTAAGGGAGGCCATTTTATATTGTGGACATAGTAAGTATATAATATATAAATTTCAATAATTCTATAATATTATAAGTATTACCGTTTACCATAAATATTTCTTAATATTCCTAATCTCTTTTGTTCTACACCACCTTTATAGACTTCCAAAAATCTCGCGCCCCCTTCTTCTATAAATTGAAAAAATCAATCACCTTTTTTTGTGTATTTTACAAATAAACTATAAAATATTCGGAATTAATCAATAAAAATTGTACTTATTAATAACTGCTTGCACATCACCAGCAATATGTACACGACCCCCCAGAGGGGGGACGCACCTCACAGTTTGGGAATCATTGCTGTAAAGGAATAAGCTTAGACTTAAAGCCGAATCTAATATGATAATACAACTTTCATCAATAAAACTCAATATCAAGAATATTAAATATTTTATGTATATATATAAGGTTTAATATAATACATTTTCTTTATTATTAAACATTTTGTAATATTAAAAAAAATTTCATTTGTCTTATTAAAATTAAAATTTAGATGTCCTGTTTGTCTATTATTAAGTATTATACTATTACATATTAAACACTGAATATAATTTAATATGTATAATGTGTACATTTATCAAATTTTTGAATTTTAAAATATCGTTGGCGTAGTTTACTTGGAGTATCTATTGGTGGTCAGTGTCGTAGATACAATTTTTTTCTGGGGGGGGGGGTGTTTAAGAGTAAGTTTTTAAGTGTTCTTAGTATATCTTAAAACGAGGTTATATGTAATAATATTACATTTAAAATGGTATTATTATTATGTCCCGTATTTAATGAAAATTATTTTGTTACTCAATTTTTAATATATACCTAATCATAGTAAAATTAAAATATTTTACTATAATATGTAAATATCAATAAATAATAATCAAATATTATAAAAAAAAAAATCTTTGGGGGGGGGGGGGGGGGAAACCCCTTACATCCCCCCCCCCCCCCAGTAACTATGCCACTGATGATGGTCGATGAATAATATTTGGTCTTTTTTTTTTGCACTTGTATAACTTGTAGAATAAGTTGTCGATGCTGTACTCAATAATTAAGTCCAATATAAGTATTTATATTTAATATAAGTTTATTATAATTTATGAATTTTATTAATAGTTTTATTTTATCTTATTTGTGAGATAAAATCAATTACAACTTGAAAACTGAAAATGACAATTGTGAAATGTATAAATAATATGCATAACGTAGGTATATGAATACTTTGATAATGTTATAGCTAACAAGATTCCTAATAGAAACATAAAATTTGATTTGAACCCCATGAAGTTTTCAAAGTTAAATCGAATTCCTTCCTTAATTGTACTTTGGTACTTGTGCAGTATATTATAATGCCATAATTCCTTCTATATATTAATATGAACATATCATTATAAATTACCTATGTAATTTATGCATTACTAATAACTGGGAATATATAAATACATGTAGATATATAGCAACAGACAAACTACTAATCAGATTTCTCTCAGTTAAATTTCTAATATATCAGTCAATAAGATTCTATATAATTAAATAAAAGCAATACGTTACAAACAGTCAATCAAACTATTATAATAAGTTGTTTCAAAACAAATCCAAAATAGATAAATTCCTTTCTTATTGTTAAAGGACAAATGTCTTGATAAAATTTTATCCTTTTTTAATGTTAAATTATTCATTCAATCTTATCTTAACACGGAAGATTTAAATTAATCGCCTATGTAATTTTAAGTTTAAAAGTTTGATTAGACTGGCATTATAAGTTTCAAGAAATAGACAAAATCCGAAATAGGCTTAACAAAAGATTCAAGCAATACTTAAAGGTACTTGGGAGTTAAGATTATTGAAACTAGCGCCTGATGTTTTGAGGGAACTTGATATTTATAATTATTTCCAATAGAGAATATCTAAAAAGTTTAGGAATCTTACATTTGTGTTGGAGATAATTTATGTGAGTAAAATAAAAACTGATGAATTTAATTTAATTAGCGTTTATTGATTAGCTTAATGTATATTATGTTCCCTTTATATAAGTTAACACAATAAAGTGTTGATGAAATGTTTAAACATTTTCTTTTCACGGTGAAACGTGGTTGTATCTGTAAGGAGTTATAGTTGTTATTTTATGTATTTAATTAACTGTCTAGATATTTCTTAATTGTTTACCATATATCCGTTAGAGACGTTTAAATATAATTATTTATATAATATATTATATCAATTTACGCGTGTGTAACAATAAACCGTTACTGTCACAAAAAATTATAACTTTATTGTAAGAAAAAAATTCTTACCACACATTTAAAACTTAAACTTATGCTTTGAAATTTCTCATTATCTTTTATTAATCTTTTATTAATATAATAATATGTAAATTTATGTTAGATGACTTTATTTTATTATTTAAGATGTAAATATAAAATACATAGATGGTATTCAGTTTTAATAAGCAAAGTAGTCTCATAGAAGTTCAATATACCTACTCTATAAATACAAATTATTAGTATGACAAATAATTTAATATACTTGGATAGCACATATGGTATACGATTTTTTATTTTAGATTTATAAAAATTTAAATTGTAAAAAAATTAAGTTCATGAGTAGAATTAATTTAAAAATAAATTTAAAAATATTTAATAATGGTTAGATAAAAGAAGGATTAACCATTTTACTGTTAGTTTTTATTTTAAAAAGCATGGTGTGAAATTGTTTATATTTAAGTAGGATTTTTTTAACTAATTTAAATATAACTAAATATAATTAAATATAATTAATATAAAAAAAAAACTTACTTCACAATGATATTGTATCTAGGTAAATATTACTGATGCAGTTTTGGTAAAAGTAACATCTTTATACAGGAAGCTGTATATGAAGCTTTACATAACAAAATGAAGTTTACCTACGTCACTATATTAAATGTTATGTTTGATACTATATGTATACTATACTATATACTATATGTATACTATATACTATATAGTATAGTATACTATACTTATGTTTGTTATATGTGCTAATACTAATTTTAAAATGTTTATACTATACCTAAACATAACCTTGATTAAATAAAATACGAGAATAAGATAAACAATTAGTTTAACTGCTTTGGTGTAATGTGCTTATGATAAAAAGAAAAAAAATATTGAAGTTACAGTCATTGACTTAACTAAATAAACACTTAATGTTTTAAAGTAATTTAAATTTAACCAAAAATGGTAAGCCATAATAATTTATAGGCTTTAATTCTTCAATAATCGTGGCTTAAAAGTAATGTAAATAGAATAGTTAAATTACCCAAAAAAAAAAAAAAAGAAAGTAATTAAGAAATAAGTTTTTAAACTCATACGTTCCTTGACAAGATTGATTTTTGGAATAGTACTACCGAAAAATAAAAATAAAATATAGAAACATAAAATTTGACTAATATTTTTTATTGGTCCAAGAAAAATTATTCATAAAAAGATTCCCCAAGTTTAATGCTCAATGTAAAAGGTAAAAATAACATATTCTGAACAATATTCCTAATATAAAACCCGTAAAATATTATATTCAAGTCATATATTGATCGAAGCTTTTCAAAAAATTACTTTAAAACGTTAACATATTTTTTGTGGTATTGGAAATACAAATTGAATGAAAAAAAAAAGGCAGTAGTAAGACACTCGTTGACTTAATACATTTAATAATCTTGATTTAAAAATCGATTAAATTAATACAATAATATTAAACATATATTAGTTATTTTATTATATTTTTCAATCATTCATTAGACATTATACAATAGCATTATTATACCAATTAAATTATCATTTAATTTTTTTTTAAAAATAACAATTATTCAAGTGCAAATTATATTATTATTATTAATATATTTTAAAACTTTTATTCGAAAAAAATGTTTTTATTTCGATTAGTTATCAATGATCATATTTAATTAAATTTTTACGTGGTGATCATTTAAGTTCAATGATTTATAATTCTTAATGTTAAAAGTTTCAAAAATAAAGGAGTTCACTTGAAATCCATTAAACAAAATTAATGTTTTTCAATTATGTTTAGAGAATTTTTAAACATTTAATACATAAATCACATAAAAATTCATTTTTAATTTTGAACAATCATTAATATTTAACGATTTTAATTACCATTATATTACTAATAGATAGGTTATTCTAGTAAGGTATCAATAACTATATTAATTTAGTTAAGTATACTCGTAAATGTTGTCATTATGACAATTTTGACAAATGTTCAACTAATAACACCGTACTAATATTTTTAAACTGAATTTTATATTTTTATTAAACCATTAAGTATTTTAAATTGAATTCAATCATAACTTTTGAAACAAAAAATGATTAGAAATCAAGAATTTATCATGATAAATTCTCAGTTATCGTTGATAATGAGCAAACTATGATTCTTGATGCGTCGCACAAAAACAGCTTCCATTACCGAAAAGTTAAAATCAATCATTTTTCCTATATAAGTTCACGGTATAGTGCCAATCGATTTTTTTGGAAAGTCTTTTTCCTATACATCTTACATGATATTACATGGTAACTACAACTTTTCTCTGGTTTCATATTTTTTCATTACATCATTCGTTGGCAATTTTTTCAGACAGATATAGTTAGCGGGTTTTCTCTTTTTTTTTTGGACAAATGTTTGTGTATGAACAATTTATATCTATTGGATATGTATCACTGAAATGCGACTTTCAGTCTCAATTCTCATATTTCACTACAAATTTCTAAATATATAAAATATCTAAGATACACTACTTTGTCATATCGCTGATAATTTCGATGATTTCTAAAACAGAATTATACTTTAAACTATTTTTAACACATAAATATTCGAGTATAATTAATTTTTGCCAAATTCCATATGATTCGTATTTGAAGGAAAATAGTATTATTAATTATTATTATATTTGTTCAAATATATATATATACATATTACTGTATGTATATTGTATCATATTTATGAATATATTGATAGATTTTTTTTTTATTGATACATTGAGTCAAGTAATTTAAAATGTAATTTTATTTAATTTGATAAAATAAATCATTAATTTGTATTAGGTTTTAAAAATTGTATTCAATACTATTCCTAAGCCATTTTTTGTACTTAAAAATGTAGAAGATAATGTCAACTGTCAATTTTCAATTTTCAAATGTCAAATTGTCAAATGTCAATTGTTTGAGATCTTTAAAGTTTAAAAATAGCTTAATTGAATAATTGTATGAATACATTTATATAAGTATTGCTTTTTGTAACTAAAATTTCTGATTTTCAGTTATATTAAATGAGATTTATAATACTTAGCTGCATAATTATGTAGATATATTAGAGATCAGCATACGGCTCAACGGGCACGTATGCGACTGGGATTTAAAAATAAAAAACCATGAAACTCCAGTGTGGAATACAGGGATGGGTAAATAGTATTGTCGTATAAACAATAAAAAAAATATATATATGACAAAATAATATATGATTTTTAGTGGAGAGGGTTTGATTAGTGGTGAAAATTTAAGTTTTTCAAAATTTTTTGTGTTTTTCAATTAATCGAAAAACTATTGAAAAATTAAAAAAAAGACCCATGCTTCTGGTTGAATCAGTATACAAAAATATATTGTAATTATTAATTGATTTTGTACAATTTATGTATGGAAGGGCATTCATAGATACGCCACTATTGATAATATTGATAAGGGTCGCATTTTTTAATTTGCCTAAGGCTTCAAAATGTCTTAATCGGGCCCTAATCGATTAGTATTGTTTTTGTTTTAATATCATCATACCTCTTTAATCTTACTACCTACTTAGTATCTATGGTTTCAATTTAAAGATATTCTATTCGGAACTATTCTAATAGGCTGGAACCCGATTGAGCACGATTGATCTTTTTCGAAACCCGATTGAGCACGGTTGCAATTAAACAATAGAAACCAAAAAAGAACCAAAAAACCACACTATTGAGCACGAAAATGGGTGCGACGTTGCCGCTTTGTACTGTAGAATATTCGGTGTACCGTATTACTGTGCATGCAAGATTTTTTTATAATTATTATGTAATTCAATTTTAGATATGTAACGATTATTTCATAATTTAAAATTTTTACGGCTCAGGTTTCATAAAAGAAATAACTCTCCAATAGAAAAACGACAAGAAACCATTTTTTTCGCATTTTTATATTGTTGGTGTAAAGAGCTCGGTGCGTCCATATTATTATTACAAAATAAAATACATTTGAATATAATTATTTATAATTAAAAATCTTTTATTGGATTTTAAACACATGTTATAATTAAATATTTTTTTTTTTTGCTAAAAAATAGCACTCATACAATTGTCATGAAAAAGGTAAAAATTTGAATTTTTTTTCCCTAAACATTTATTTCCAACTTTCAACAAGTATTAAAGTAGGTAGTCAGTATTTTTAAATTTAGAGTACTCACGATAAGCCTTATAGCGGTATTTTTAATGCACGGTAAAGTCAAAGTGCACGCGACAGTTTTCGAAATATCGCGCCATAATTTTACTGCGCGACACTCGTGTGCTCTATTCATTGTAATGTACTTTAACAAAACGCGCAGTAAAATTACGGCGCGGTAAAATAATGCTAGTGTGTTGCCAGCCTAATAGTTTTCAATATGATAACGTTGTACACAATATTTATTTTTTTTCCGTGCTCAATCGGGTTGTCAAAAAGGTTGGCCGATAACGACCGTGCTCAATCGGGTATCACTGTTCTAATATATATTTTATAAGAAATATTAAGTTGAACGTTCTTATGGTCAAAAATGTGTTGAACTATTGGTATTTTAGGGATATTTTTCGGATCGGGCATTTATGAAAAATGTCTGATCAGGCCGAGTTATTATAAAAATATCAGCCTTGACTTGGGTGTTTATGAAGTATTCCGTTCGGATCTAGCTTGATCGGATTTTATAAAAAAATACTAGGATATAATGGGACAAAAAACATAAGGTTCTTTTATATTAAATAATATATCGTATTGCAGACGAATACTATATTCAGAATCGTTTATTGAAGTTGACTGTTTATTATTACTTACAAATGTGAACACCAAAAATGAAAAGAATACCAGCAAAATTATCTCATTTCTAACCAAAATCAATTATATTAACAAACTCTAATATTGTAAAAACTTTTCTTAGTTTCTAAGTTACAATACCTATAATTTGTTATTTATTTTAATTAATTAATTTTCCTTTTTTCATGTATTCTATCATTTGTATCTGAACTACTTTAGGCTAATAACCTACGATGTTGAAGCCTATTTCTAATAAAAAAAAAAAAAAAATGTGAACGAATGAATAATAACTACTTACACAATAAAGGCCTTTAAATTATTTTATATAAATTTAGATATTAAATATTTTAATAAATATTAAACAGTAGTCACAGTATACATTTATCTTTATCGACATTATGTTATCTCGAAATAAAATAATTCGAATTTTGGTTTCATTACAGATGATCATTTTTATAGAACGTTAATTTTCTCACACTTCTATTTAAACACAACTTAACGATATTCTAATTTGAATACATTTTAATTTACCAACTGGAATTTAATTCTCAGTTCTTATTCTGTTTTTGAGTAGAGTGAAAATATGAAGTAAGTAACGTTTATGTGTTATTTCTCTTATTTTATGTAAAATACTTAAAGAATATTTTACGCTGTAACTTTGGTCATTTTGATCTTATACCCAGTTTAATTAACTTGGATAAGTTGACATAATTCATTTTTATTTTGTATACTATTATTCTATTGTTAACATTTTGAAAATTTAAGTTTCAAAATATAATTTATCTCATTACAGTAAGTATAATACTATAATGCGTGTGTATATATATATATTACGGGCAAAGTATACATTTTGGGCGATATAGAAAACGGATGATATGATTTAATGAATAATGACATGTATTTATATTATTAGAAAATATAATAAGTTTTTTAATTTTATTATCACTTATTGTCGCATGTACTGCTTCCGTGACATTTTGATGAACATAGCCGCTCCGCTGCTTTACACTTGCACTTCCGTGTTTTACATTTTTGTATACATGTACATCGATCGTAGCTCTGACCACCCAAATTTGAAGATTTCCGTGCTGCCCCTCTGAGTGAAATCTTGGTATCATCAACTTCCAGAAATCTTTCTTTGCAAATTACAAATTGGTTTCTATTGTACAGAGTTGAAAAGCGGCCTTCCTTGGTCCCGATTTCGTACATATTATTGTTAACTGTAAAAACAGAATAAATACATTTTTATAATTTTATCTGGAATATTAATAATATAAGTAAAATATTTTTGAGTACCTGAAAGAATAACTCCAATAATGTTTCTAAAATCACTATCAACGTCTGGAATTTTGACCGTTACTGACTGACCAACTTCGCCGGGACAAAAACGATTCTCAGAAGCTTGCTTCATTTTTATAGTTTGAACTTTCAAATTTTTAAGTGATTCGGTTCTATTTTCACGAATAGCTTTTATTTTAAAAGGTACAGCTAAAATAAAATAAATACATTGATTAATTTTATTTAAGTATATAACGTAATTATTACTTAAAAATTGAAACTAAAAATCTAAAATTATAATTAAAAGGTATTATTATTACTACATAGATATAGGTACCTTCTTTGTTTTCGATGCGTTATTACATTTCGATACAGTAGAAATAGAATTCAGAGCTCCTTCGAGGTCTTCTTCAGTTCTTAAATTACTTATTATATTTATAAACTTTATTTTAACTACGTTTTACAATTTATCATATTTCATTAACTAATATCATCCGTTTTCTATACTGCTCAATATACGAAGGGCATTTTATATACTGTCCGGGCAATATATAAAATGCCCGGGCATTGTATAAAATGCCCACATTGTATACTTTGCCCATAACATATATATATATATTAGGGTTATTCAAATTTATAAAGGTTAAACATTTTCTTGGGAAATTCCAAATAAATATCCCTTTTTTAAATGATATGAAAAAATAATTGTGTTTGGACTCAATAACTCAACATCTTACTAAAATTATAGCCAAAAGTGTTGTTTTTCAATTTTTTTTTCTTATTTCAAAAACTGAGACATTTAAAAAACAATTTTAATTATAAATTATAGAGGAATATACTTTTTATATATTATTATAAAAATTATATTTAAATCATTATTTCATATGATAATTAAATATAAAATTGTTTAAATATAAGGAAAAAATAATTATCTTTATAATTCTGTTTTACGAAATATTTTGTTTATATGTATTTTTAAACCAAATAAATATTGTAACTTTTAAATGTATTTATGTATACGAGATATATAATTATAAAAACATAATTTTTAAAACTTATAAGGCTGTCTATAGAGTAAATTTAAATGTAATTTGATCTAAGTTGAGCTACAAATAGCTTTTGTAAATATTAGATTTGATTTTGACTTACATTTCATATATTTAATTTTGTTTCCATTCCTTGTTAAGCCCATAATGAATTGCATTTACTATTAATTTTATTATATAGTTTAAAGTCTTTATTGTTGTATGATACCATTGGTTTTACGATAGTGTTGTCTTTTGTGACTATACTTTGAGGTAATAAATCACACCAAAGATTTTATGTATCAAATATTAAGATAGAAAACTAAATTTTGTCAGTTTTTTCACAAGTTATAACATTTGTTGAATTTTTGTTTTTTTTTTTGGTACGAAAGAAGAACTAAAAATAAACTTAAAAATTATTTCATTATATTATTAAATTATAAAGCATTTCCCATAATGGGTTTATCTTTACTTTGATATAATAATTTATTTTAGTTATTCAATGTAATGCATTTGGATCATAATGATAAAATGAACAATTCAAACTTACAGCATTCGCTCAGAATTTATTTTTCAAATGCAAATAATGCAATGATTTCTAGACTTGTAGTTGCTTCAAGTTTACATAAATTAACAAGGTTGACTTAATAAAATAAAATAGTATATTTTGTGGCTTTTTAAAAATTTTATTCAACCTTAGAGTAGAAATAAAAATAAATAAAAACAACTACTTACAAATGTGTTCGTTTTTGATTAATTGCTAAATATCAATTAATGAATAATTTATGTATATTATAACATTAAGACAATGTAATATGTATTGTATCTATTTTATTACACCTTATTGTTTAAAATTTTTCAAAAAAACATTGCGTATATTATTCACTATTATTTAAGTATGTTAAGTATTGTTATTATTTTATGTACTCGTATTAAATGAATGCAAATTTTTTTGTTTAATTTAATTTTATCGTGCAAAAGATATATCCAATTGGTCATTGGTTTTTTCTAATTTTTCGTAGTCTACTGCGGATGCGTAACTACCGCGTTAGCGGTTTCCAAAATCGAATCTTTAGCATCATAAATCTTAAAGGAAGCAATAAAACGAAACGTAAACCTCCCCCATTGGCTGTTTACTGTGTTGTCGCCAACAACTATGTAATATATGAATGTTAGGAACTAAGGTCTTGGACTATTACACTTAGTTTTTGAACGTGATCAAATCTGAACAATGATGTGATTGTACAGTTTTTTAAATTCTATTATCTCATTAACATAAAACCTTTTTTAAACTTTTTTCATTACATTTCGATGATAATAAATTGGACTATATCTGCCAATGAATAGGTATTAATTTTTTTTTAAATCACCATTTATACATATATTTTTTTTCAAGTTCATGAATATTAAATTTTGCACCCCAGAATAGCCTCTGGGCTCTCACATTAATGCTTAAGATTAACTTTCATGAAAAAAAGCTTTTTTCCCTAATGGTCTCATGCTGATCACTTAAATAACCCAACCATAAAATGTTATAGAATATATAAATAAACTACACTTGGAGACTTTTCTTTTGTTTCATATAATGATATACAAGTATTTAACAAATACATTTTAATAATTTTAATGTTAGTTAAAAAATATATTTATATTATTATAACATATTTTAGTTATTAAAGACTTCAAAGTATATCTTCACAGAATATCTGATGACCACTAAGTGATAGAAAATTGCTGAAGTTTTTTTTTTTTCGATGACTATTGAGCTTTTATCACATAAGCTTGTATTGTATTTTAATTTCAAACATGAAAGTATATCTTTAAATTATCGCACTTGCAAAAAAGTTATTAATAGATATTAGGTGCTTTATGATGTTTTTTAAATTTGTGTTTAAGAGGACATACTCGTATTAATTATAACAGAATAATTTTAAAATATTTACAATTTATAGTAATAAATATTATAAAGTACTTTAAGTAGTTTTAAAATATTTTATATTTTCGAAATTAATATTGTAAAAATGATAATAAAATTCTACATTACATCCAATATTATTTATTTATAGGTATTACATTTATGTAATAAATATAAATATTTTTATTTATTTTAAATTAAAAAATTATAACTTTCCAAAGTAGATTTTGTTTAAGTTGGGAGTGTTATAAATTTTACTATGTTGGCATGATTTTCAATAGTTTCTCAAAAATGTCAAAAAAACTATTGAAAAAACATAAAAATAACCTACTATAAAGTATCACCATCTGTGTCCAATATACAATATATTATATAAGGGTTGTTTATGAAACTTTTGCGGCTATTTTCCGATATAAAAAACTATAGTATTCTAAAATAAAAAACTGATTATTGTATGACAAATATATCCTTCATTCCACTCTAAATCTACAATATGTACATTTATTTTACGAGGGTGGACATTGTTTGGAACAGGATATCATGGTGAGTGTTTAAGAGATTTGTTGTAATACTAGATATATTTTAGTTATTTTCATCATATAAATTCATCGAATTCTGTGTTCTGAAATAGCTGTAAATATATGTAAATAAATATTTTTAGTTGGCTAGTGTAAAATATTAACTATAATCACAAGTATACGATACCCCAAAAATAAAAAATTGCTTATAAGTCATTAAAAACAGCATATATATTCTAACAAATATAAAATCTTACACAAATAGGGTCAATTTTAAGTTTTTAACGATCGTTTTGAGTTATAAGCGTGTGTTCACTTTTCAAGTGTAAAGGCTATAACTATTAGTTAAGTTATCAGATATAGTATTTTTAATATATTTACATTAATTATTCTTGTTCTATAATATTGTATTATCGGTATTATTTTATAATTTTGTTATTATATTTATACAATTCACATAAATGTTAAACGAGAACTTTACCTCTTAGCAAAAGACTTATAAATTAGTGCACCCCATCTCATGCATCAACATTTATTTGATAACGCATAAACTTTACAAATTGGTACAATAATTTAGAAGGAGTAAAAAAAAAAAACATTTGGTTTTAGATTATGAAATAATATATATACATATATTTCTTAAATATTCTTGTGTTATATTTACATATTCAAATTAAAATAAGTTATTAAAATATTATATAATTTTTGGAGTGTAAAAGATATAGTTTTATTTTACCATGCAAATTATGTTACTTTTAACTGTACACATCCAACATGAATATTTACTGTTTGTGTATTATCACATTGTAACAAGCTTCTATAAATACTAATATTGAGCTTGCGCTAAATAATATTAATTTTTAATCATGTTACAGTTTACCATGTTGTTTATATAAGAATAAGATAAATATTTTTTTAAAAAAAATTAAAATGTTGTAACGTTCACAATGCTTTTGTTAGAGCATTGACATTTCTTCTGTTATTGAACTATCTTTAAAAACCCCCTTTATTCTTTTTATCGAATTCAATTTTTGATAGTAGGACAGTTTATATTGGGGAGGAATAACAAAAATATTGCCATTAATATAACAAATACACCTACCAAATATATATTTTATGTATCACCCATGGTAAACCTCTATGGACTATTCGACAATGTTCCATTAATTATACTACTAATTTATATTTTAATAATTAGATTAAATGAACTTATTTGAATTCATGTAAATTAAAATGTTATTATAAACTTGTATTTATTAGAATTTAAAAATATTAAATTTATATATACAATATTTTTTATTTGTATTGGTATTGCCAGTTGCGAGCGATCGATTACGCATGTTCGGTAATTTTATGTAATTGTGTTTAACCTCGGCACACAACAGTATTTTTCATTTGTATCGGTATTGCCAGTAATGCCGACGCTAGGGGAGGACAAGTGGGATATTTGTCCCACGCTTGTTAAAGGACCTCTGTGATTTTAAATTATCATCTTAATATCGTGAGACACATTAACATTTGATATCCTAAAGGCTTATGTCCAGGGCCCCGCAATACCTAGTGCCGGCACCGATTGCCAGTTGCTCCTTAAAAACTTTAATACATACATACATTTTAAAAAGTCTTTAGTCGAATTTTTTTTTCTAAAACCTTGGTAACTCGAAAACCTTAGTAAGTCGAAACCTCGATTAGTCGAAAAAAATTGCATTTTCCTTGAATTTCGGCTTATCGAGGTTCCATTGTAATTAAATTATAAAAAACATTTTTACTAAAATGAAAATGGTACATTAACATTTTACACAATTGAAAAAAATATTGAATTATTTTTTTAACAATAATACATTTTTATCGTAGCTTAATTTTTTCATGTCCTTATATTTTCATTCTTTGGGTTATGTATTCTATCGTGGATCTTTCTTTTCCGATGTTTTCTTTAATATATTTTTCGATTTATTTGCTTTAGTAGGCTTTCACGCCTTAATATTTGCCTCATAAGCTACGATAGAGAAATATAGAAATTTGCAACAAACTAATCTGAAGATTAATGACAAAAAAAAATAAAAATAAAAATAAATAAATATCAAATGAATATTTAATTACATTATTTTATATTCATTTTTTTTTATGTATAACGTGCGTTTAATTTAGGATGTGCAAATCTTTATGAGCTGATATGCATATTAGAATAATGATTAGTACATTAATTTCATCAAATATGATATTACGTAGGTTGGTATAATGTTTTAAAAAGTACTAAAGTTCATCGAAAACTTTTCCTTGGAGGAAATTTATCTTTGGGTATTCTTTAGAGTAATGTTGATTAGAGTTTTTGAACGTGTTTCGCAATTTAATTTGGTTTTTAATATCTATGAATAGAGAAAGCATTAAAATTGTATGTATTCAGATTAAATTAATATTCTACAACTATGAAAAATACCATATTTAATTAAAAAAAAAAAAAACATTATAAAGTTTAAAGCATTCAAAACTATTGTATAGTATAATATAATATAATTTGACTTAACAATGATGTGTTGAAATGTATTTAAGATAAAAAAAAAGTAGAAAAACAGTTATTATTTTTATGGTAGATATTTTTACTGTAGTATTGAGTTATGTTAGTTATGTTAGTTTTTATGTTTATAAACTTAACAATAGAATTCTAAAATCACCCATTATATATATATTTTACATTAATTTATATAATAATCCTATAAAATATAAAACACAATAT